TCTGGACTTTTCGGGATAACGTCCGTCTTGAAGGACATCGCATAACACGCAACACTTGAGCGGACACATCCGACTGGATTTCCATCTTCTTGAATCCCGAAACAGCTGTCGGAGAGGGTCAGGAGTTGGTCAGTGGTGGTATTTCAATGGTGTTTCGATGGCGATGGTGCCACAAGTGCGCTTGTTGTCCGCTTGTTGCGCACTGAATTATTTATTAGGCATGTGTTCTCCTGTTTTTGCACTAAGTGTCATTTTGTTGGCCAACAAAATTTGCCTTGTTCCGTTCGGTTCTTGTGCTGTGTTGTGTTGTGTTGCGTTGTGTGTGTCCTGCCCCATGAAATCTCCACTTCATTCTGCTCCTCCGGCAGACAAAGTGTGTCAAAGTGTTTGAATATTTTATAAAGTACAAATAAAATAAGGCAATAGCAGAGAGTCTTGGAAATGCACAAAAAAAATTGATTCAAAGTTGAGCTCTGCTCTGTGCTGTTTGTAATTAATCTTTAGATTTGCATAATTTGACTGCAGCTGAAACAGCATATCTAGTATATTATGTAAGGAAAATGTAATACTAGTGCCTAGGTATTTGAATTTTGTTTTGCCAATTCTGTAGCTCCTTCGATTTGATTTTTTTGATTGCGAGCCAAGAATACATTCTCACAGTTGCCCCGAAAAAATGTGCGAAATTTGCACTCCTCCAAAGATTTCATATTCGAGCTCAAGCCCAAAAAAACCGAACTGGAGCGCAGGCACAGGAATGCAATCAATTTGCAAATTTTCGCTACTTTGCCGCGTTTGCAAATGTTCGAGTATTTGGCCCCTTAGCAGTTTTTTCTTGGTAAGGAGAATGCATACATATTCCCTTATATTTTTTGTTTTTTTTGTTACCATTCCGCTCCTATTATTTTCCCCATCGCATCGCCATTTATTTTGTGTTATTTCTGCACTTGGCTGCTTGTCTGGCGCGCATCGAACACTGAGCCTTAGCCTGTCTATCTGTCTTTGATAATGCACTGGGAAAAATAATTTAAGAGAAGAGTTTCTTGAAGAAATATAGTAAGCTTAGGTTGGCTCTTTAGTTTGGTGCTCCGAGCAGAAACGATAATGTGTAATAAACCCTGAATAAATAGCTCCAACTTTATCGAAGTCATGCAATACTTTCTGTGAAATATATTACTTATATAAATAAGCAATTTTTATTTTATTAATATTATTCTTATAGAAAAAGTTTACATTTTTGTCCAGTGCCTTAGCTTTCCCTATTACAGCAGCCCTGCTTTTTGTTCCTTGGGGAAGCGAGTTATGCAAATGCAGCTCCTTGGAGTCCTGGTCCATGTTTTGTTGCATTCGGTGGGGGCCAAAAGGTACTGGCTTTTTTTTGGCAAATGGCACAAAAATAGTTTGCAGTCCGACGGAGCAATCGAAGCCATCAAAAAGGGCTCACTGATCATTGGCCCAGTCCCGGGTCGAGAGTGTGTGTGTGGGTGAAAATGCACTAATGAAAACTAGAACTGGGATTTCGCACTTCTTTCCTCGAATACCTCTATATATGTATGACTTTCTTTTTAGTCGTCTTAGTGCTTTTTTTTTTATTCAGCAGGTCGTACATTTTTCCCTTACATTTGCCATGTGCCATGTGTAAAATCGACAAATAATGGATGCCTCTCTCTCTCTGGCGCTGGCAAAGCGCATTTGAATATCAATTCAATTGAATTCTTTGTGGTGTGGCTTCTGCTGATTCTCCGTCTCCAGCTGAGGATGCATATCTCCTTGTGGCCGTGGCTTCTTCCTTTGGCATCCTGGCAATATACATTCCCCACAGCGTTATGCAAAGGAATTCGCAATGTGTAAATGGCAGCGAGTGTGTCTGTGTGTGTGTGAGTGTGTGTGTATTCACCACCTTATGCGCAATAAATTGCAGCGAAAAATGTAGCATACTTCCAGGCCACATCGACAGGAATTTCTTCTTCACTTTAAGTAGATTTTTTGTTCTTATTTCCGTCCTTGGCCATTGTCAGGCAATTAACGCAATCACTTTAAGAGAAAATTGTTAAATGCAGTTTTATTTCATATTCACCCCTTTTGAATATAGCTAAAGATAATCTTTTACGCTGAGAGGATAAGCTGTTAAATGGATTTTCATACTAAAGCCCATAGAGAAAATTGTCATTAATTAGCGCCGTGCACTTACTATTAGCCTCTATATTAGCCTGGCTTTCTATATATATATGCCTTCCATATGTGTACATATATATATATATATATATTTGAAATAAATTATTCTGCTCACTCATCAGCATTTTGCGCTGTTATAAACACGTTTTTAATTAAAATTGCAAAAACAGGCAAAACATAGATGCGGCAATAAAAGCAAACCCGAGCCGACATGTGTGTGTGTGTGTGTATGAGACTGGGGACTGGGGGTGAAATATAAAAAAAAAATATGATGGCAGCAACTTCAATTAGCACAAAATAAAAGGCAATTCCAAGTAGAACAAAGCCGGCAGCGGCAACAAAGTCACAAACAGACAGAGACCCACTTACCCCAGGAGATGGGGTACCAAGGATATGGGGGACCAGAGAGATGGGGACAAAGGAGCAATGACTACTGGAGCAGACAAAGAGGCGCAACAGTTTTAGCAATAAAATGGCAAACACGTAATCATTGCCGCCTGATAAATGTGCGTGCAACAAGGGCCAGGCACAGTTCTCTACAGAGGGAAAAATACTACTATTTTACATAGAAATTTTAAGTAAAATTCTCAGTCAAGAGCATTTAATTTTGTTTTAAGTGATTAATGCGAAAATTAGCATTTTAAGAATGTAAATTTTTAAAAAGTAATCAAAGTTCAAGGTCTATAACGAATTAACCTATGTCAAGCCAAGATATTCTTGGGAAAACTTAAATGAATACGTTTTTTTTTAATTTGAGATTTAAATTAAATTAATTTAAATATTTAAAAATAAAAATAGTTTCTTAAAAAAAACTCTATCAATAAAATGGTATTTTTAATTAAATTATGATTTAATTTTTTTCCTTCAATCTGGATAGACAAAAGGTTTAAATATTATTAAAATTTTAAAAATATTTCAAAACAAAATCAGTTATATTCACAAAATGCAATCAAAACACGACTATAAATAATATTTTCATTTTGATCCTTCTAGGCTTAGTATTCCTTTATTTTGTTTAATGTCATTACTATTTTCCTAAGTCAATCTTTAACCTTTCCCTTTGGAATATTTTGATGTCACGCTCTCCAGCATATATTTCTATCTATATATATCTATATTATTATATAATATTTTTCTTAGCACATTTTCCTTTCTGTACTTAGAAGTGTACACAATACAGTATATATAGTACATGCCTCATATCATCGACCTTCAACATATTTGCACCATATTAATGAACTGGCAAGAGCCCGCATCGCGTATACGCCCCGTTTGCAACCACCAATCCCCCGCATTCATTACGTTTCACTCTCGGTTTTGCTATTCAGGCATCGTTTCTCTCCTGAATGTGATATTAAATGTGAAATAAATACATATATGTACATATAGCCTACACCATCGTCTCGTATAAAAGCATTGCCACTTAGCGGCAGCAGGTTATACAAATTGAATCAAAAAGAAATTGTTTACAATTTATGCCTGCTTTCAAATCACGAAGAGAATGAAATACAAATTCTATTCAAATGAATGTCAAATGTGTGTGTGTCCCAGTGTGTGATTGTGTGGAAATTTGCAACATTTTAACCCCTCACGTGCCAGGAATGAATTCACACAGAGTGTGTATATGTGGCCAAGGCATCGGAATTGTCCTCACGTCTAGACATAATTTCTTCAATCATTTATTACCTAATTAAGTGGAAGTATAAATGCCAAACTCAGCATGCCAATGGGCGTGGCAGGTCAAAGGGGAGGCAGACTCGATGGTGGAAAAGAAAAAGCAAAGCTTTCTCTCTCGGCTCGTGTTATTTTCATTCTCTTCTGGGCCACCGCCTTTTGTATGCGAATTAACTGGCAAAATTCCAATGATTGACCTTAGTCTTTGTTGTTCAAGCTGGGGGGTGTGTTTCTGTCTGTGTTGTGGGTGTGTGGAGTGCATTCGAGTGGTTCCCAGGGAACTTGAGTTTAAGCCATGAAACGGCGTTGCCTTGAGCAAGTGTCTTTGTCTTCGGCTCATCTTTTGTTCCCCACAACCATATACAAAGGCATTGTGTGGTTGGCTTTTCTTTTCAGCCAAGTCAGTTCATTTTGCTTTTTCTGCTGCCGCCTTTTTGCCCTTGTTTGTTGTTTTTCTTCTGCCACTAAGAGTGTGTGTGTGAGTGTGTGTATGGTTGCTTGCCGCTCAAGAAGGACTTCTCCTTATTGCGCGCTGTCTTTGTAGTTTTGTACCCCCAATATCTCTTCCAGGACACTCCCATGGCATTGTATTGTATTGTATCCGTGGCTTTGTTCCCTTCGATAGTGTCACATACTTAGTTGCCGATCGCTTCGAGGCGTTTTGGGGGTCAATAATGAAGTGCGCATCGCGAGTCATGTGACCCAGAAAGATTTCAAACTGAACAGTTGAAGAAAACAGGAGAAATAAAAGGATAATAAACAATTAGGTTACTAAAATCAGTAAGGGTTTGAAATACCCTTAACAAGGTGTCTAATAATGTGAAATATATTTATATCGATATGATGGCTGATGAGTTCTTTATAATGTATTATTACTAGGTATGAGTTCCGACACTTTAAAGGTGAATTAAAAGGATATTAAACAATTAAGTAAACAATATCCCATGGAGTTTAAAAACACCTAAAGAAAAGACGTCTAAACGTATGGTATATAATTTCAAAGATACAAAAGCTAATCACTACTTATTAAAGAGAGATTCATAAGACTTAGCTTTATGCTTTTACTTACCTATTCAAAAGTCATACAAAATAAAGTCTCACGGATCTTTACTGTCTATATTTTTTGTTATTTTGCATTTCTTTATTTTCTGCTGTTTGTTTTTCTTTGTTTGTTTCACTTACATTGTTCATGTTCTTTGCGTTTATTACAAATATGCCATTCGCTTTTGGTTTATTCCATAGTGTTTTTTCCTTGTTTATATTTAATTTTAACGTTATTCATGTACCTCAATTCGGTTGTTGTTTTTCTTTTTGTATACGTTAACATAAAGCCCACATACTTACATACACACTCAATCGTATGCTTTTCCCTAACATATCGTATATTTATTTATTTATTTATAGTTATTAATTTATCGTTTACTGCTTAGGTTTCAACTTACAGATTTAAACTTGAAGTGCTCCTTTCTTGAATTCCCCATGCATAATTTTCAATGGTTTTTCTTTCCCTCCCTCCGCCTTACGTTTATTTTTTTGCTATTTATGCCTTTTGTGATTTTGCTATCCTGGAATTTATACGTATCCTTGCTACAGATTGCTATTTGAGTATGCTAGTTTTTCCTTTTTGCCCTTTTTGCCTGCTTTTTACATTAATGCGATGACTATTTTGTAATTTTCTTCATTTCCCTTTCGTTTTTCATCATTCTTTAACGGTACTTTACATTGTAGCTACGCTTTGTCCGCACCCATTGGAGGGCGAGTGATGTATATAGAGATGATTGAGGGGGGATCTGGGATTCAAGGATGAAACAATACACTCGACTTGTCCCCGGTCACTGATATGGGGTCCGAAAATATATAACGACTTAGTTGCTGCTTCAGTTGGCCATAAAAACGATGCGGATTGGTTAGCAAAATGAAACTGAATTTCAATATCCCGAAACAATTTTCACTAATTTCCCCTATTTCCTAAGGATAAACGAGCTGCTCGATAGTTTAGTTTTGCCTTAAATTCGTCTAATATTTAGCTAGATGATATTTCTCAAGCAGGTTTCCCCAAAAGAAATTGACTTTACAAACACACTTTCTGCTGCTGCTGTTTTTTAGGTTTAAGTTAAAGCGTTGCTTTCTCTAGACACTATTAAAGTAGTTTTTTCAATGCTCTCTAACGTTTATAACTTTACGCATACGTATATATTTATTAATAATTATTATATATATTTATTTTTGGGGTATATTTTTTTTGACTTAGATATGCTGCGGTTAGTTTTTTAATTCGTGTCAACAGTGTTATAATTTGCAAGGATATTTGATAGAGTGATATTGTTTAACCCATCGGTGTGTATATTACATTATCTTTTGTCTAACTGAAGCGTAGGTTTTGGGTTCATTGCCAGATATCGTATAGGTATAGGTAAGGTATAGGTATAGGTATAGGTAATTCGTATATATATATATATATTTCCTTTTCTTTTTTTCTATGTGTATAAACATAATACATATCGCCGAGTATATGCATTAAGGAAGACATTTTTTCATGATTGTGACCATTCTCAATACGTGCACATTTTACACTGCTACAAATTTCTCATCTTCTTTTCGGTTCAAAATGGTCAAGCTTAGGCTTAAAGTGCGTGTGTGAGTGTGTTGTGTGTGTATGCATCCAAACACTCCATTAATATTCATAGATTTTCCATTCACTCAGGTGTTGTTTTTCTTCCCTTTCCTACTATTTACAATAGTTTCTAGTTTACATATTTTCTTTAAGGCTCAACTAAAGTCTCGTTCCATATACACTTTAACTTAGTTACTTTACTAACTTGCATTTGAGATCTCGTACCATATTCCATAGGGGGTTTGTAGGCTTGTATTTACTTGTTTTGTATATCGTTGTAAATCTTATGTATAGTTTTTTTTAGTTTTTGGTATAAAGAATCATATATACAAAAGATTCGAGAAGAATTTTCGTGTAAAACTCGTTTAGGTGTTCATATTGATATGTACTGTTAGTATTTAATTACGTCAAGTGAGGAGTACAAAGTGGTAGGAGCAGGTAGGAATATGTACAGCGAACTGAACAAAGGGATACATATTTATTTTTTTTAAATATATATATATTATATAGCAATGAAACCTGTTGAAACGAGGCGAGGTTGAGGTCGTCCGTGGCTGCCCCGTGGAACAATGCAGAAATGCAGAACGCATAATTGATAATGAAACCGTAATTGTTTTCCCGCCTCCGAATGAAACGGTGAAACTATGAAATAAATTAACAATACCGATTTGCATAAGAGTGTTAAACGAGTGAGTTTTCGCATTCGCTTGCCTGACATTTATTTGTTTGTCCCGTCAGAAGGTCGAGTCGTATTAAAATGTAATTAAAAATCAAAAGAGAGAAAGCGCCGTCATATCCGAGGGATCCATACACTGGCGTCAGCGTTGTTAAGGCGTTTAATAATTTCCCATTCTTAATTGAGGCAGCCAAGAACTTGAAAGAGCTTAAACAGCAAACAATGAGAGGGTCTTAATGTGTGTGTTGTGTGTATAATGTGTGTGTGTGGACAGAAATATATATATTGTTTACCGTATAAAACTCTAGCTACGGATAGTACTTAATGGCTGCTTAATACTTGCTTCTATATACACACATCTCCTCACATGTCAAATCCAACTATTGAGTTTGCTAACAGTATTATTATGTAGACAGCAGTTTTTCCGTTTTCACATTAAATGATAGATTAATCTAGTGTTGAGTTCTATAATATATGCATATGTCCTATATAAGTTTCTGTATATATATCCCGCAAATCCACACATACATACGTTCGTATCAAAAGGGACAGCACAAACATTGTCAAAGGGTCAACAACAAAGCTTCACAATAATCGCAGCTAAAAAACACAGAACTAGCCCCTAAATGTATACAACACAGTATTACGATTATGCTATTCCATGGCCATGGGAGGCACCATATCATTATAGTTTATAGTTTATAGTTTATAGTTATAGCTATCGTTATCGTTATCCTTCCCCCACCAAGTATCTACTACGTACAGTTATGCAATTGTCCTTGCCTCAATCCTTCAGCTATGCGGCTGTCATGTCCACATCGCCACATCGCTCACACACAACGCTGTCCAGCTGGAGAAGTAAGCGGCCACCGCCAGCATCATCACATAGAGCAGCCGGTGGCATCCACCGTCGCTGGCAAACTGACAGACGGAACCGTGTCCACTCCGTGCCGCCGCACTCGTACTCTCCGGCCAAATGACCTCGACTTCGGACATTTTGAAAATGCTGAGCAAACGGTGGGATTGAAGCTCGCTGTGCTCGCTATTGATTTGATGACTGATGGTCTTCAGTATCGCGGTGCACTCGTCCTGCAGGCAGATAGATAAGCAGCCAAAGTCGTCGATTGGATTATTTTCGGGAGGGGAAATTGATTTTTAGTAAATCGGTGTATTGAACAGAGAGGGAAAAGTTATAAAGTATTCATTTAAATCAAAATTCTAGAGAGTTTGGTAAACAATTTTGACTAGTTTTCAATTTTCCAAGGGATATGGGATATATTTCTTAAACAAAATATAATTTATAGTCAATTATAAAGCAATTTAGAATTCAATATTGCAATATTTATGCTTTGAAAAATAATATTTCTATCTAATTATCTCCAACTTTCCCGTAATTTCTCTCTGTACATGTGCCTGCAGCATCTTAACGTACCTTCTCCTTGCGCAGCAGCTCAATATCCTTCAGTTTGCCATCGTGTGGCAGACGCGCAGCTATGATTATGTTCTCCTCGGTCATATTGAACAGCGTTAGGGTGCACTGCGTCTGCACGGAGAGAGGTGATGGAATGCAATTAATATATATATCGCCTGGACATAACTTTACTATGCGTTCGATGCTCGACCAAAGCGAAACCTGAGGCAGCGGCTTACCTGATTATCGATGTATGTGGTTACATACTGCTGCAGGGCACGCACGGCATCCTGAACCCCGAGGTTCGTGTGAGGACGGAGCAGTGCCTCGTCGGCGGCACTATAGCCCAAAAGCAGGAATACACCACCTGTAGAGAGAGAAATAAAGAGGGGACAAAAAATGTAGCGAATGCCACATCAATTGCAGCAAAACGTAATTTACTACGGAATCCGCGTACAAAAACGCACGCAAGTGCCAGTGCCATGTGGCAAGTGGCAAGTGGACAAGAGCCATGCAACCTTGCTGCTGCCACAATGGTTTTTCTTTTTCTGTGTCAAATATGCTCTCTCTCAAGTGGCTCCTCAGCGCCCGAGAAGGAGGTGTCCTGACAAAAGGCCTTAAAGCAAAGCCACAAGCTTCCCTCGCAGGATTCTCTTTTCTTGTAATTTTTACAGACCTTTTAAAGGCAATTTGAGTCTAGAAAATTAGGATAGGATGCCCCAGAAGTCATTACAAATTTTAAGTTAAGAAATTACAATTCATGTAGAACATATTTTTAAGAGTTATGAAAACTCTAGTGAGTTCTAAAGCCCCTCTGAATTACTGTATAAATTAAAATTGAAATAGAACTTTATGCTCTCAAAATGTACATTTTTTCTCAACTATAAACTATAAACTCAAGCTTAAATTCTTCAAGTACGGATTCCCGATGGACTTCCTTAAGGATCTTTGCGGCACACACACAAAAATGCAGCTGCATTCCACCTGACAGCCCCGCCTCGTCATTGCCTGTCGCCGGCGATAATCGCTAAGTGCTTAACGCACAGCGAACTCGACACGCCAACGTAATGCCGCAAAAGGGGGTAAGGGAAAAGGTGGTAGGAAGAAAGCAGGACGGATGGACAGCAAGGATAGCAAAGGATATGCAGACAAACTCACCTGGCAGAATGTACTCCCCAAGCGGCGGCTTCATGCAGATGAAGCGGCCCGAGTAGCAGAGGCAGCGACCGCGGAACGCCTGGTAGGCGGGCGAGGCGTGGCTGTAGAAGGCGAGGGCGGTGCGGCAGGGGGCAAAGGGCACGCAGAGGGCGTGGCAGGTGAGGGTAAGAGAGTCGCCGCAGCTGCACAGCTCGCTACACTCCACATCGTCCAAGGAGTAGATCTGTAAAGGAAGCACAACAAAAATATAAGAAGGGAAAGCATTAAATTGCATTGTGCGGTTACATTACGTATACGCCCGGTATGACCATAATTAAATGATGGCACAAAACAACAAACCCTTAACTTTGCTACATACATATATGTTTGTTTTATGATTTCCCTATTTTCCCCAGCACGTGCCAACACGTGCAGGTTTTCGTACATATTTTCACATTTTCTACTTTCAGCCAGCTAGCCATTTTTCTCCGGCTTAACTTTTACTTATGTTAATGCGAGATAAAGCACTTTCAGATACAAATCCAGGCCAAAATATGAATGAAATATTAATTTCCATTTATATTTGCATTTCGGCTTGCCAACTATTTATATTAAAATTATCTCACTTAAGGTTTTATTGGCCAAATGCATTTGATTTGACCAATAATTTACTTACCCGCTTGCTGCTGCCCTCACGAATTAGTTGATCCGATTGTCGAGGTCGTTGCACCACACAGTTTCCTGCAAATAAAATCGTTTTCAATTTTCAAAAAGCACTTCATAATTGATGGAATAATTCATTAAACCAATTTGTCGACACTGAAAGCAGTGCCGTAAACCAGTTTAACACCTTTGATTCAACTTAATTTTCACTCGACGAACAATGTTGACTATTCCACTCATGTTTTTGTGGCTTTAAGTGTTTGTTGCCTCCTCACTCGACCATGCCACTCGTGCCCCGAAAATAAAGGATGTCCGCCACTCATGTGGGGCATTCATCATGTCATCAAAGCCATTACGACTTTTTCCTGGCCTTTCCCCAAAAAGTTTCTCCCGGGCATCGCGAGTGTGTGTTTTTGTTTATGTAGCACAAATTTACACACTCGAGACCGAGACCTGACTTTCGCACTTAATTACCACCAATGGGCACTTTAAAAATGGCCAAGATGTGACTTAACTGGCACCTGGGGTCTCGGCCCCTAATCAAAATCCCTATTTTAGCGAAAACTTTACCAATAAAGCCGCTATAAAATGCACATAAATATTTGAAGCCTACACACACTGCAGTTTACAATAGTTAAATATAGTTTTAAAATATCCCAGCTCCCGGCAGGGAGCAAAATCAATTATAGATGAGACACAAACAGGTTCAGCTGCGGGCCAGAAACATTTCATGCAAAATTCAAAGCCAAATGTCCCAAGTGTCTAAATAATTACACCGGACGAGCTGACCACACGGGATGGCAGCCCTGACTGACTGCCTGGCTAACAAACTGGCAAACTGACAAACTGACGGACAAACTGACGGACAAGCTGACGGACTGGACAACAAACAAACAAACAAACTCATTTACATTTTTAATGATGTTTGTAAACACACGCCTCGTGGCCCCCGGTAGTCCCTGTGATAAATGAATGGACAATAAACGATGTCCTCGGCAGGAGCTTTTAAACAACGGAAGTATTATCACAATGCAGTCGAGTGATATGTTATGTGTGCGCTTGGCATTCAAAGCATAATCGGATTTGCCATGTCCTAGGATTTGCCAAGACTCTACGGCATTTTGGCGGACTTTACATTGGGCACACACACACATATTCCCCCCAGTATAATTGCCACATCAGCCGAAAACAAACTCATTTCCGGTTGTGGCCCTCCTCATGTGTGTGTGTGTTGTGTGTGTGCGCACGTGGGATGACCAATGCGGATACTGAATTTTAAATGATTTGTGCGCACAAAATATTAAAATAATAATCACGGTCGTCACTGAGTTATGCTTTCAATTAGCCAAACAACCGCAGTCACCGCATCAATTATGTTGAAAACTTCAAAACGGAAACGATGCCCAAATGTATAAAAATGTGAGTGGGAGTGATGCACGTTAAAAAATGGATAATGTTTTAATGAAGAAATGTTTTTTACTTTGACTTTGGAAGGATAAAAGGAATTCAAAAATCTATCAATTGAAGGTTTGTTTAGTGTATTTCTTTTATATTAGATTTTAAATTTAATAGTCTTTAAATTATGCGGGTATGATACTAGTTTAAGTTTAATTTAAGTTTTCAGAAGAGGCTTTTAACCAAGTTCACACATAATCTCTTTATGACACTTCAAATAAATAAATAATCTAGAAAATCGATATTCTTAGGAAAAATTACTATGATAATAAAAATACTACTTTAAAGCATTAACTAATGCATTATAACAAAAAAGTACATGAATTTCTTATTAGGTATGTTTTATCAATACGGTCTTACAATATGTATTGCCTTTAGCTGTTGTCTTCCTGTTAATTGCTCAAAATAAAATGGACCAAAGTCCAGAAATTATCTATTAAATTTCTTTCCATTTTTAATCGGTGTGACCGTAGTCGCATTAAAAAAGAGACAATCGAGAAAAAGATGAGATATAGTTGTCTCTTTCGTAGGTTCAAAGGAGGCCTTTTATTAGTGAACTAGTGTCATAACCGCATAGGCTAGTTAGCTTTGAATACTAATGATTCAGGACTTTGGAAATATATATATATATATGATACCAACTTTAAAGTTATTGAGTTCTGTACCTTGTATGTGACACCTATACTGATTTTTAACTTGAATAAATAACTGTTAAATGTAATTTGGAGTACAATTTCTTTCTTTTCTTTCTTTTTCCCATCCCTTGATTTTTTTGCCGAGTGTAGAGTACCTGCTAATTGTTATTAAGCTGGCGGCAACTTTAGATGAGGCACCTGAGACCTTGACCACACACATACACCTGAGGAGAGCTCGCTCTCATAATCGAGAATGTCAGACGAATATACATATATATCCAGTATAATTTTCGGACAGATCCAACCGCAATTGGACGCCCAACCGATTCCAACTCGGTGGACATGGGAGCAATTTGTTACCCACTTGCATTTACTTACTTGGCGGCTGCGTTGTTGTCGTGGTCGCCATTGTTGTGGTTGTTGTGGTTACCGGCTCCGTGATGCTGATGCCCACAAATTCCGTTGTTTCCCTTGGGTCGACGAAAATTACTGGATCATCGAAATCTATACTGCCACTGTTGCCGCGTCCCCCTCCCCCCTTTCCGTTATTTTTACGTCTGCCGCTGTTGCCGTTACCGTTGCCGTTACCGTTACCGTTCCCGTTACCATTGCCATTTCCATTTCCGTGTCCATGGCCGTTGTTGCCGCTGCGATAATCGTCATTTCCGCCATTTCCGCCGCTCTCGACATTTACGCTGGGCAGCGGGATTGAATCGGGCAGATCGAGATAATTGTGTTCCACCGATGCTGGCTCTGATTTCTCTTTTGGCTGCCGGTTTTCCGCAACAATTTTCCCATATTTTTTGTTGTTTGTTTTTTTTTTTACGGTTTGGTTTTGCGTTTCGTGGTTTTTCAATTTTGTTGCAGGGTTTTTTTATATTTTTGTTTGTTTTATATTTGTTTTTCCACATTTTTATTTATTTATTTGCATTTTTTTTGTGGTTTTTGCGGTTCATTGTTGCAATTGTTCGTCGTTATTATTGTTGTTGTGTTGAAGGGAGAGAGAAAAAGGATGTTAAAGATTTTGCAAACGAATACGGATATATGTATATATACATATTTTTTTAAGGGGGGAAAGGAAAGGGGGGCTTAATCTTTTTGCTGCCGCCACTGCAAAGGCAACAGTAGCAGTAGCAGTAGCAGTAGCAGTAGCTGCTGCAGGTCACAGAAATTGATTGCTTTGTCGGTTTGCACAACCCGAGGAACTGGGCCACAAGCAAAAACAGAAACAGAAGCAGAAGTTTACCAGGATACCAGAAAACTGATCCACACTCGAAAAAGGGATATTGCATAGCCTATACATTAAATATATTTGAATAAATCAAAGTTTTTCTTACTTAAAGAGTATTTTGTTGACAGTGAAAAGCATATTGTAATTATTAGGTCTTTCTTAAGCTTTAATTTACCGATGGAATGTGTATAGTTCTTTTGAGACAGTTAAAAAATAAATATTAAAAATGTTTTTAATTTTTATTTAATTTCTATTCATCAACTTTTACTTTAATATACCTTTTTTGAGGCAATAGAAAAATAAACAGTAATAATATGTAATTTTTATAGCCTCTAACTTATCAACTATTCACTATGCAATAAATGAACTGTCACTTTGTTATATTCAGATAAATACAAGAACTCGTTATAATATAAATAATTATACTATAGTCCTACAATATTCATATATTTATTTGAAATATATATATATACATATATGTACCAACTTTTTGCTGGGTAAATTAAGACTTTTAAAAATGCGTGCTTACTTTGATTATAAATGCATACGTTTTTTACATGTAAAAAAGGATTTTCACTTCCTTTATTTTCCTACAAAAACATATTTTCTAAGCTCTTTTCTCTACTAAATGCTTCATAAATAAACAACAAATGCATTTTTTAACTACTCAAATATGCAAAGTATTTTGTTAGAGTGATAGTTTTAGTGGCCAGGACCAGTACAGAATCCGGGATGTGGACTTTGGTTTGACCTGGCATGTTGTGTGGCATATTGTCCGCTTTGCCATGCTCAACCCACAATAGCCACGCCCCCGCTAGCCGCCCCCTTTTTGAGCCACTGATTGAGTGCTGATTGGGAAACAGAGAAAGCGAAACCGAAGGATGGATGGACCAACCAAAGGATTAATAAAGGGAACGATGCGTTAGGAGTAACTGTTGTTGATGCTTGTTAAAGGTGGACACAACGCCAAATGGTAAGGATCGGGTCAAATCGACCACTAGTTGACCACATTGGGCAATTAGGACTCGAATGGGGGTGGGGATGGGGCCTAAGATGCCCAAGTAGGCATACTCACCGCATATACATCCTTGAAGATGTGCGTTGCCGGTTTCCTTGGCGTTTGCTTCGGCTGCAGGCTGGTCGTCGTCGTCGGTGTTGTGGTGGGCGGCGGTGGAGGTGGCGGCGGTGGTGCCCGTGTCGTCGTCGTCGTTGTTGTGGTCGTCGTGGTGGTCGTTGTCGTCGTCGTGGTGGTAAGGAAACCAAGCTCAGCCAATCGCTTCATATGGAAATCCTTTTGAGCCTCAACTATAGGTGGGGAAATAAGAGTTGACGAAATATAATGTTATTTAATTTTATTTTATTTTCTGAATTAAATATTAATACTTTTTTGAGAGTTCCTGAGACTTACCCACGCAAGGATTCATCCACAGCAGTCGTCGCCATCCCACGCATTGGTACAAGTGCTGGGGATCTGTTCCTTGGCAGGCACAGGTCGTCCTCAGCATGGTTCCCAGTATGCCAATCATTGCAGTTCGACATCCGCTTGGTCTGCCGGCACACTTTTTGGTCACGCTGTCCACCGCACAGGCCTGCTCGTAATACTCCAACTTGAGTCTGCAAAAAAGGCAGAAGAAATTGATATGGTTTCAAGTTAAATTGCATTCGAATATAAATAGGATTATTATGACAATCTTTATTGTAAAAGTAAAGCTAATCCAAAGATTTTGCCTAGAACTCTCACCCAACACTTTTTCCTTTCATATTCAAAGTCTTCAAGATTAATCTTTAATATATTAAATGCACTTCCGACATACAACCCTATGTCTTTTTTCCAGTGTACTGATAAGCAGACTCGTAAAACCCAAGTAAGCTTCTCTGAGAAGCTGGAATCCCCAAAAACCCATTTCCATTGCCATGACACTGGCTGGAAGTCTTCTTGTCCGTCATGCGCCAGTTAGCTGCAGATGTAGATGCATCTCCTTTGGTCCTCCAAGTCCTCTAGGTTCTCCGGTGATGGTGATAAGTGTCCCATTGCCGGCACTGCACTGCACTGCACTGCAGCTTCTCCCTCACCTGAGATTGATGTCGGCCAATTTGTGCCGGCATTACTCTTCTCTCTTGGAATTCTACTGCATTTCATCGTCTTGGTGGCAATGCTGGGAGGGGGAATGTTGGTTTTGCTGTCGCATCATCAGAGCAGGTAAAATTTATGAGGCCCAGGTTCTCAGGCTTTCGGGATACGAGTGGGGATTTTTGGTCAAAAGCCATGCGACGTATGCGTAATATTTCAATTGCTGATTATCGTCACAAGGCGATGACTTGGGCATATCAATGGGATATTGGATGCTTCCTAATTGCGGCTACAGGTCAGGTGCAGGAAGTTTGAAACTCAAATTTTATGATAATTACTGAATAAATTCCAAGGACTTTAAACCTATAAATTCTTCTACGTTTGTTTTTTCCTTTGTAGAAAAATTATTCTAAGATTCGGACATTTTTCCAGGAAGCCTTGTGTCCACTACACAGTTGCTGCAACTCATCTCAATCGGCATTTGACGTAATCTTTGAGATTTTCCTGTGCTTTATGGATTGCATAATGTCTGCAATGGTTGCTATTCAATTGAAAATTGTGCGGCCAACAAAGTGCAGTTTAAGACGTCAGAGTGCTGCAACTTCGATGGCAGCCAAACAAATGAGCATTTTGCCGCAGTCACCCCTCGCAGGCACAGGTTCAGGCTCAGGCACAGGCTCGGGTTCAGACTAAGGCACGTGTTGGCGCACAACGCGTCGTATACGTAATAAGTCAACATAAGCACTCCACACGTTGCCCCGGCAGAGGGCATGACTTTACACCCCTCCTTGCAGGCAGCTGGTGCTGCAGCATACAAAATGAGCGTCATTAGTCCAATTTAGTTGTTTACCAAAGCAAGTGCGATTCACTTAAAAGGCAATTAATTTCCACAGCCACAGCACACGACCACGTACTTTGCGGTCGTTCAGCCGTAACATGACAACAAACAAACAAACACGCCGAAACAACCCAAAACTCCCTCTTCACCTCACCCGGTTTCTAAGCATGTGCATTCGAGATGACAGCTTCAGGGTGAGAGTAAGGATGAGGACGAGGATGGGGGTGCTGCTCCTGCTGCATCGTATTTATAACTTAACTTTGTGTTTGACACATTCACGCGGTCTGGCCTGCAAGTTTTAGGTGCTGTCTGGCTTAATGAAGAGCTATCTCCGGCTCCTTCTCTGGCTTCAGCTTCAGTTTCGGCTCTTCTGAGTTGTGGAGATTGAGTATGGGACTTGGTGTGATGGAGTTGCCTTTGGCAAAGTGGTAATTTTATGCCCCGCTTGCTGGCAACTACAAAATTCCGAAGCATCAAGCTTGTGTCAATTTAACGAGTTCGGCTAAGTGTCATCAAAGTTGCGGCTTTCGCAGACTTTGCCGTGGCTAAACGCCTCTAATTCAATATCAACGCGAGCATGAGACTAAGTCTGGGGGAAATCCAATTTCAACTAATTGAATTGGTGGCAAGTTGAAAAATAATACGGCAGTATATAGTAGTATGTGGCAATTACTGTGATTGGTAACAGTTTTCATATGATTATCAAAGATATAGATAAAAGTATAAAGTAGAAAATATAAAGATAAATTGGATTTACAGTTTATTTGACACTTTATCTAACTTAGCACAAACTCAAACCATTTTAAAAATCCCTAAAGAATTTTAGTATGCAGTAACATTTTAAGGTATCGTCTGAAATAATTTTAACACTTTTTATACCCTTACAGGGTATTAAAATTTTAGTCAGAAGTTTGCAACGCAGTGAAGGAGGCACCACCGACTATATAAAGTATATATATTCTGGATCAGGATCAACAGTCGAATCGATCTAGCCATGTCCGTCTGTCCGTCTGTCCGTTTCTGCGCAAACTAGTCTCTCTGAATGAAACTTTGCCGTTAGTCTTCTATATACTCTCACTCGTATATATGTCGGAACGGGCCGGATCGGACGACTATATCATATAGCTGCCATAGGAACGATCGAGAAATTTGAGAGGATGAGAATGGCGGTTTTTATTGTCGGAAGACTGACAATCGCAGTGGCGATAACATTTTTATTTTTCAACAGAATTTAATTAAATTTGAGATATAGCCATTTTATATTATTCTAGAATTTTGTGTAAAATTTTATGAAAATCGGACTAATATATCGTATAGATCCCATAGGAACGATCGAGAAATTTGAGAGGATGAGAATGGCGGTTTTTATTGTCGGAAGACTGACAATCGCAGTGGCGATAACATTTTTATTTTTCAACAGAATTTAATTAAATTTGAGATATAGCCATTTTATATTATTATAGAATTTTGTGTACAATTTTATGAAAATCGGACTAATATATCGTATAGCTCCCATAGGATCGAGAAATTTGAGAGGATGAGAATGGCGGTTGCTATTGTCGGAAGACTGACAATAGCGGTGGCGATAACATTTTTAGTTTTCAACAGAATTTAATCAAATTTCAGATATATCCATTATATATTATTCTAGAATGTTGTGTAAAATATTATGAAAATCGGACTAATATATCGTATAGCTCCCATAGGAACGATCGAGAAATTAGAGAGGATGAGAATGGCGGTTTTTATTGTCGGAAGACTGACAATCGCAGTGGCGATAACATTTTTATCTTTCAACAGAATTTAATTAAATTTGAGATATAGCCATTTTATATTATTATAGAATTTTGTGTAAAATTTTATGAAAATCGGACTAATATATCGTATAGCTCCCATAGGATCGAGAAATTTGAGAGGATGAGAATGGCGGTTGCTATTGTCGGAAGACTGACAATCGCGGTGGCGATAACATTTTTAGTTTTCAACAGAATTTAATCAAATTTCATATATATTCATTATATATTATTATAGAATTTTGTGTAAAATTTTATGAAAATCGGACTAATATATCGTATAGCTCCCATAGGATCGAGAAATTTGAGAGGATGAGAATGGCGGTTGCTATTGTCGGAAGACTGACAATCGCGGTGGCGATGACATTTTTAGTTTTCAACAGAATTGAATCAAATTTCAGATATATCCATTATATATTATTCTAGAATGTTGTGTAAAATATTATGAAAATCGGACTAATATATCGTATAGCTCCCATAGGAACGATCGAGAAATTTGAGAGGATGAGAATGGCGGTTGCTATTGTCGGAAGACTGACAATCGCGGTGGCGATAACATTTTTAGTTTTCAACAGAATTTAATCAAATTTCATATATATTCATTATATATTATTATAGAATTTTGTGTAAAATATTATGAAAATCGGACTAATATATCGTATAGCTCCCATAGGAACGATCGAGAAATTTGAGAGGATGAGAATGGCGGTTGCTATTGTCGGAAGACTGACAATCGCGGTGGCGATAACATTTTTAGTTTTCAACAGAATTTAATCAAATTTCAGATATATCCATTATATATTATTCTAGAATGTTGTGTAAAATATTATGAAAATCGGACTAATATATCGTATAGCTCCCATAGGAACGATCTTCATTTCTATAGAGCCACTAAATATTATGGTAAATCTTTACGCACTTTTTTTAATAACATTTTTTAAGACATTCAACATGAATATTTAATTAATTAATTAATTAATTAATTTAATAAGTAACCATTTATTATTGAACAAGACAAAGGAAAGTTCCCTTGGAAATCTATATATTATTATTTTATATGATTCATATATAAGTATACATTAAAAATACATTAATTATGTTGTAATCCCAGAATATATTCCCGTATGTAATATGTAAAAAAAACCCCTTACTAACTAGTTAAATGTAATTTTAGATTACCAATTTAACAGCTTTCACAAAACCGTACGTTCATGACCGGAAAGTATACATTGGCATTGCGTACATTTCCGTTTCCGGTGGACTCTCTCTCTCTTTACGCTCTACATTTTTTGAATTATGACCCACCTGCACTCGCGATCCTCCTTGCAGCTGTCGGCGACCACGTGACAGGCGGGCGGCGGATGGTAGTAAATGCCATTGGAACTGGCCGGATTACTGTTATCGGGCGGCCGCTGGGCGCACACTGGATGCAGTTTTTCCTGTGCAATCATGCACATGTCGTGCCGATTGGCGTTCTGCTGGCTGCTCCCTGTTTTCCTGCAGCAGAACAATGGGAGTTTGGTTTGGTTTTTGGGTTCGGTTTGGCTTTCGTTTGGTCCTGGCTGATGGCCAGCCACTTACTTGCATAGACAAAAGGCAATGTCCAGATTGAGGTCCTCGTGGGGACCCTTGTAGAAGGCCTGGAGCGAGGACATGCATGCATTGCGATTGCAACGGTGCATTTCGCAGTGCATCAGCATCGGTTGCAGGGACGAGGAGCAGGACGGATCCTCACGGCAAGTGTCCAATGCCGTGTGACAGGTACTCTAAAGGGGATAAAAGCAGAGAGAGAAAAGAATCGTAATTGATTTTTTGTAAATTAATATTTGTATTGTACAAAGAAAGCCTTTCATGAAAGGTATTAAAACTTAGTTAATAAAATGGCATTTCGTTGAAGACATTTTGCTGTAGAGTTTTCAACACATTTTCAAGGGATTTAAAACCCCTAGTAATTTCTGTAAATTAAAAATATGCAATTCTTTTATAAGATTCAATTCTTTTGAAATTTTTATTCTCAGTGCCCTAATAAACGCTGCAAATTGTGTGAGCTGCTTTATGCATTGTCCATGTCTCTCGTTTTTGGGGAACTTTTCTTTGCACTCACCTGAAAGTGTTGCTTGATTATTTCCGTTGAGAGGTCAACTTCGACATCCTGACCACCTGCAGCCGGCCAAAAACGTGCCCAAGTGTGTCAGTCGCATTTTGCATTTGCATTTTGCATCGACCAAATGTTGCCCGGGGGAGTTTTTTGGTTGATTGGGGATTTTCGTTGGGCAGATGGGTAAATTGGTGACCGCAGCGGCGGAGGTGCGTATGGAAAATGTTTGAAATAGTTCATTAGTTTTCAATTTGCGAAACCCTTTTTCACTATGCTATAGCATATTCGATATGAATTCGGCACTTGCACACACACAAAAAAAAAAAAAACTATATATTTACTATATATATCGGCGGTGTTGTTGCCTTTCCCCAACCAAACTGGCCGATTGCATTAGCTGTTTTAACCCAATTCAGGTTTGGTTAGTGCTCTCAATCATTTAGAAATGAGTTGTAAAATCGCTGATTACACCTATCGAGAGTGGATCGCATTTAGAACTAATTAAAATGTTAAATTTATGGACGTGACCTTTTGTTTGTCCACATTCGCCAGTGGAATGGTCTTAATTAATTTCATTTATTTATACACGATTTTAGTCGCTTATTTGCTTATTCACTCTCAATTGGCATGTTTACTGGTACAATATAACTCTGCAAAGCTGTATTTAAGTGTGTTTAAATGATGGCCTAATCACAACTCAATTACTTTTCATGTCCGTTAAGGGTATATGATGAGTACCATTCTGAATATCAATCACAGCCTGATGGTTGGTTCGGGTGACAGCCGCTATCGATTGCATTTTAATTAACCAACTTTCAGTTCGCTCTTCAGTTTCAATTGGTAATCATACAGCGTTTGCTTCAAAAAATTCCCAAAAATTCAATCCCCCGCAGATTATACCCTTTGTCGAAACGGCACAAAAAACGATTGAAATTATTAAATCAAAACAACAAAAATGCACATAAATAACGTAAATTAAATGCAAATATTCCACAAATTTGGTTTTTATTGCCTATTACTGGAATCCAGGGGGGTTAGAGAGAGGCGCAAAGACAGAGATTCGAGAGTGAGAGTCAATTATGGGAATTATGGGGGAATTATTACTTTCAACATTTTTGGGGGCGTGGTCGCAGGGTCACAGGGCTGGCAAAACACAACTAAGTTCTATATATATAAATATATATGTATATGAAATTTGTATAGATTTATTTGTTATTTTATTTATTGGTTTCGACTTTAAAAACTACCAAACCTACTGATAAAAGTATATATTCTGTTATTTTTTTTTTAAAGGAGGGGATGGATCGGCAAAGATACTCTAACTCCTGTGTGACTGTGTGTGTATTTATATGTGAGTTTTGGGATGTATCTTTCGGATTTTTTCTGAGGTCCCCAAAATGGGGGATTCATGGCTCCATGACTCATGATATATAGTATAGCCGATGCTCTGTGATGATGTGTAAGTCTTTGGTATACTTTACTGGGGTTTCTGTACTATGCTGGGTGTGTGTGTTTTTTGGGGGTCACTGAATTAAACTCAATTTATGTTTCAAATAAGGCAATGTATGTAAACGCAAATAAGTCGATTTTCAAACAGAAAACACGGAAGAAGCCAAACAGAAAAGTCGGGCAGCGAACAAAATAGTCTTAACAAAATCAATTTGTATGTTTTCTCTTTGAGGGGAAGATGGTTTTTTCTTGGCTTTAAGCTCTTATATATATATTAAATATATTCGATAAAAAGTCCAGCTTCAAAACGCCGTCTCTCACGGAAGAAGTTTTTGATGTTATTTCTTTGTTTCGGTGGCTTTTTTTGTATGAAACAATGAACTTGATGGCTGGTGAACTTGAAAAATGCAGAATGTATATTTTTTGTATGACACAAATGTTGTTTGCACTTGAAAAGGGGAATGACTTGGAGGATCTCAAAAAAACTTGTTCGAAAACGTTTTTGACTTTGGGTTAGTTGTTATGGTTTTTGGTTGTTTGGATTCAAAAAACTGGGTGCGTTGGAATAAATTTGAAAAAGTGTGCTTGAATTGAATGTAACAAAATTTGATTTGGTTTTCTTTTTGTTTTTTTGGTTTAACTTTATGTATATATTTTAGGAAAGAAATTAAATGAATTTTGTTTAGTTTTTGGTTTTGTTTAGGGTTTTTCATTTTGCTCACATAACGTAGGAAAAAGTTAGGATCGAAAAATATTCACAACTTGTACACAATTCTATATTCTTTTTTGTATTTTCTAGAGTTTTTCTGTTAGATAAACAAAATGTCAAACAAAATTCATAGTAAGGAATAAATTGTTTTAAACGCATTGGAAGCAAATTGTTTGTTTTAATTCTTTTTGTTTTTTTTTCTTGGTTTTTTTTTGGTTTTAGGAAAATTTCAAAAAACTCTCAAAACAAATGGCAAGCTACGTAAAAGGAATTGAATTGAAACACAAAAGCAGTTAAAATAGTTCGAGATATATGTAAATATTTATATATGTATAGAAATTGTAATGTATAAATTATTTGTAGTTGTAACTATACTTAGATTTCGTTTGTTTTTTCGTTTTTTTTTTTTATATAAAGGTTTGAAAGAGCGATTGCCAAAAATTATGCACAAAGCCAAATGGCGTACGGATCGCGCCAAGTTGTTTGTATTTATATTTATATATGTATATATTCACCTTCAAACACAAAAGCAAAAATTTGAATGAATTTAAATTTGAGTTTTTGATAAAAATTTACCTGCAACAAGGTGTGTTTTTTTCGGTTACAGGATGGGGACGACACAAAACGGAAATCATAAATAAATCCACAAAAATCTATCTAAACGGTGAACGAACGAACGAACGAACGAAATGAACAAACGAACTTTTTTGCCTGTTAATTAGTTCTAGGAGTTTGAACACACACAAATCTGGATTTGCATTTATTTTTCTGCATGTAATTGCTGCATTTCAAAATTGATTTATTATAAATTATTTATTTTTTTTGCTTGCTTGGTGGGTTGGACTCGTGGACTTATTTTTTTATTTATGGATTTACGTTCATGCTAATACGTGTACACATACTTTGGTAGTAAACACCGGTATTTCCGTTTCCGCCATAGCCGAAGCCCGTATCAATGATATCGAACGGTTCATTATCGGCAGCCGCCGCTGCCATGTGCCGCTGATGGAAGCCGCTTATATTGAACGGATAGCTGGGCACGCCGTGCATCGAGCCCGGATAGTTAAAGCTGCCGGATAAGCCCAGGCCCATGCCGGATCCGGAGATGGAGCCGGAGCCGGAGCCGGATGTGGTGACCATGCCGGAACCAGAGCCGGTGCCCATGGCTATTAGGGGCGTATCAATTAGGGCCAAATTATCATTGAAGATTCTCTGATGCAGTTTCTCGTCCATTCCCAATATTCTTACTGCAATTTGAGGTTAGCAAGAAGAGAGAGGAGGGGGGTAGAGTATGGTTGTAGTTTGTTGTAGATTTTTGTTGTTGGTTGTTGTTGTTGGTTGTTGTGATTGGTTGTTTGTTGTTATAAGTTGTTGATAATTGTTGTAGTACTTGTTCAGTGCCATCTATATAGTTGTAGTTATTTGGATTTGTTATTTGATTGTAGTGACTGTTGCAGCTACGCAGCATTTGAGTTATCCAATCAGATTCGCATAAATTTCAGTATATTATATCTGGTTGTAGCATTTGGCTTTTCTTACAATCAATTTTTCATAGCTATTAATATACTTTTATTATAGGTATGTTGAAAAATAAGGAAAAACATAAAAACCATAAATGATATACTTAGATTGTTCAAATGCCAAAGACTTGGCACAATCACACAAAAAAAATTAGAAAGGAATTCCTTTTCCTTCGGAAGGAACAAACGATACAGATAGTGTCAACGAAAGGAGACTAAAAAAAATTTAACAAACATACAGTGGAAAATGTGAAAGAGAGGAGGCGGTGTGTGCCAACAATTATCGTTCAAAATTAGTGCAGGTTCGAAGGGAGAAGACTAAAACGCTTTACATTGAAACACAAAATAGAAACGAAATCGAAATTGTGTGCTATTTTTGCGATTTTCATAGGAACTCTCCTGGTTCCCGCCACGCTTCGAATCCCATTTCGCTATCAATGGCAAAACATAAACAGAAGGCAAACAGTCTGACAGTCGGCAGTCGTCATTGGTGAGTCTGTCTGTCAAATGTCATGAGCTGATAGAGCGGGCAAATGGTAAATGGTAAACGCCGAGGTCTCAAAACGCTTTGCAAACCGCAGCAGCATCAATATCAGCAAGGACACACAGAGAAAAATATAAAGTAGCTATGCTGGAATTTAATTTAAATATTTTTCATTTGAACAGGTGTTAGGAATTGATCAAAAGTTAAAGTTGTATTCAATTAAATTAGTTAAATTACTTTTAATTTCGTTAAATAAGTCAGGTCTTTAAAACTTCCTTTATTAGGGTTTTGTTATTGAATAGTTTTCAATGGAATATAAATTTTGTTGACTTGAATTAGCGATAAGAATTGAAGTTTTATTCATTGAAAAACGCTTAATTGCTATAGACTATTTTTAATGAGTGATTTTCAACAAATTGCCGAATGAAAATCTAAACAGAAATCATCTAAGAGACTTGACTTATTAGGTTATTTAGAGCATTGTTTCAAATTTAATTGGTGTCAACTTAAATTGGTATTACAAATGTATCAAATATTTAAAAAGTATTTAGGTAGTATTTCGATAAATTACTTTCAATTCGCGAAATGTTATTGTAAATGAATTTTTTATTAGAATAGAAAATTAAAACACCTTAGAGACTTCTTAGGCATTTTTAAGTTTTAGCTAGTATTTATTTGTTTTGAATTTGTCTCGGTGCCCAAAATGTATCTCAAATTCGTTTAAATAAGCTAAGATTTATAATTTTAATTTATTAGGAATTTCTATACAATTTTAATATTAAAAACTTAAAGGGATACAGTCTTATAAGCATTCTTTATTAGGTACTTTTTAGTTGAACTAATTGAACTGACTAATGTTAAGTTTGAAAACTAAAGGAAACCTTTTTATTGGCTTGCTTTATTCGGTATTTAAAGTAAAGATATTACTTGCAAAAATTGTTCCAATTCTCTAGGGATTTTTAGGCCCTTCCGTAATATGTTATATTAAATTAGAAAAAATCTTGTATGCTATCCTGGCTTTTATATATTTTTCTCTGTGTGCGAATTGCTTATCTCGTCGAAAGCACGCCAAAGTGCGCTTCATTTGCGGCGTCTGGCAAAGCTCAAAAGGATGCCAATCCCAGTGCCATTTCCCCCTTGCTATATAAGGATTCACAGGAGACTACTGCTGAATGGTGGAGGGTCAACTGCTGGCGCTAAATGGCCAAGGATTTGCCAGGAGACGTGCGATGTATTTATGTTTGTCTCTCGCATTGCCATCTCAAATATTTGCGCAACAAACAGAGGCGACGCGACGCGGCGCGATGCTTACTGTCCTTGTGTCGGGGTGTCCTGAAGTCCTGAAATCCTATAGTCTCGTAGTCCCGTAGTCTTGGGTGTCTTGGGAGGGTGGCTTGAATGGGATTAGCTCCGTTCTGTTAACTGTTATCGCTGTTGTAAGCTCCTGTCGTTGAGTGGATCTGTGTCATCTAATTGTTGCGCATACGCAGCGTTGTCGCCGCGGTATCCGCTAGATTGCTTCAATACAAAACGTTTTCAGCTGCACTCGGGTCATTGCATGCCATTTAACATTTAACATTTAACCAAAAGCGAAGGGTTTCATATTGGGTTGAAAGTGCAGGAGAAGGGGAGGAGTGGCACACTCACACATAAACATGAGTGTAAACATGGCTGCAGATACGGTGCGCGAAATTTAAACAAACTCATAAACAACGGAAATAAATTCTGAGAATGTGCAATAATTTCAAAATTACATTCTGGCCAGTGCGTGTGATGCTACTGAGTGTGGAATGTGTATGTGTCAAGGGTGTTGTGTGTTGTGTGTAGGGTGTTGTGTGCCATATCAAATATAGCCGAAAACAGGGCCCATCCGTGGTTTTCATGCCCTAATTGGGAGCCTGTTTGGCTGTGAGCAGCTGCATCGCCTAGATACATACATACACTCACATTCATGCTCTCGCTGCAGGCGATTGTCCCTACGGATACACGGGTACAGAGATACAGATACATAGATACATAGAGATAGGTGTGTGGCGGCGGAACTGTGGTGTCCACATATCGCCCTCTGCTACTTCTAAGTGGATTGTGCGATATTATGAAAATATTTATAACACGCAAACATCGTGCGGATGTATCCTATATATACACTATATATAGATATATATCTGTAGATATACATTTATCTATGTGACTGTGCTCTGGGTGCTTAGGAGTTGTGTGTGTTTTTGTGTGGGTTTAAGGGTGCTGGGTGTTGGTGTGTGCCTTGTTTCGTTTTGTTGTTGGCGCAATGCTGACAAATCGCTTTATTTGCTTTTAGTTGTGCTTAATTAAATTTTCAAATTGAACGCTCAGCTTAATTTTTATACACGAGATACCCATTAGTTGGATGGGAGTATTGAGAGCTTTGTTGTGGGGCTTAAATAGATTGACTTCATAAATTCAAGTATAAAGAGTTAATTGTGTTGGTAAATCCTATTCTAGACATACAACTTTAATATAAGTTTCATGTTCGCTACTTAAGGAAGGAGTTAAATAAATAAAAGGAGCTACAAATAATAAAATACTCCTTTGAGCGAGATTATAATCATTGTTTTAAGTTTCACAAAGTACTTATACGACCTTTAAATGCAAATTTATAAAACTATAAAGATTGAAGTTCAATAATTCTTTAACCTTTATAACTCTTAATAATTTTCTGTGTTAAATGTTTTATATAAATTACTGATTGATGACATTATTTTCCTCATATATTAGGTACATTCAACGACGACTCTCGACTAATCATAAATGACGTCTAACAATGTTTATTTAGTTTTATCAGCTATTGTTGCTTTGAATAGTGATATTGTTGATAGAAAATTCGTAACCCTTCGGGCCATTGAAAATGTTTATGCTTTTGCATTCGAGTATCCAATCAGCAACAATAACAATTCAATTTAAATTTCCCTCCTAAAACATAAAACACAATGCAAAACAAAAAAAGAAGAGTGGCTTTTGCTTGGAAATTTATGCACATCTCTCGCCTAAAGTGTGGCCTAGAAAATCGGATAACCCTTCAATATCATGGCGGGTTTATTGTTGTGGCTGCTGCTTGTGTTGTTAATTTACTGGTCGCCATAAACGTAAATAAGGCGAGTCATCGGTGAAAATCGACATTGTCATGTGTGAGTGTGTCCGTGTGCTCTTGACGTGCATAAATAGTTTGCTAATATTTACAGCAATCCCATAGCCCGGCAGCTGCAACAATAGACAAAGCTGTGTGCAGAAATGCATAATGCACAATGCACAATGCAGGCTGGGAATTTATAACTTTGTCGAACAGATTGCCGGGTGCAGCACCGGGGACCAGGAGGAAAAACAAAACGACAGCCGTCGATGATGGATGGCCGGCGTCAAATGGCAAGTGAAATTCGTGGCCATAAATAAAAAAAAGAAAAAAAAACGAGGGAAGGAAATGCGCAACGAGACAGTTAAAGGAGCAGAGGGGAGGCAGAGAGGGGATGCATTGATTAGGCCATTAACAATTGTTGTTTTGTTGTGTTTGTTGTTGCCTGAAATTACTGAGTCTGTAAATAAACTGCAATTTATAAGCGGAAAACATAAGAGAAAGAAAACATATTGTTGCTATACACACAAAAAAACTTAATACCTTTTTTTTATATAATAAAATATTTTTTGAGTTCTCTTTAGATAATGAACTAAGAACTATTAAGGTGCTTATGAAACAACGCATTTTGCAAAATATATTTAGCTCAATACATTACAGAAACTTGATTAAAACCAATTCCTCAACTAATTTACATACATTGAAAAAATATTATGTTTTAAACGAATTTTTGTTGTATTATTTATTAAAATTTTAAAAATAAATTTTATGAAATTACTATTGTATAAACTAATCATTTGTCTTGGGTTTTAGCAGAATATTTGCCTTCTAAGAAATTGGTTAAAATTTTAATAATTAAATAATTGTGCCAGGCAATTTTTAAAGAAAATAAATTTATAAGAAATTGTTATTTTTAAAAAGTTATTAGGAAATTCTAACCATAAAATTTAACAAATAATTAAAAAAACAATAACAGTAAACTCATTAGAAATAAATTCAATACTGAACTCTTTTAAAAGGTAGATTAACACAAATTGCTTCGATAAACATCTTTTATATTTGATTATAGTTCAAGAATTTGCGAAATTATTTTGCATAAAATCAAACAAAGCATTCTCCAGCATTATTTTCTCAGTGTATTGAGTGTGTGTATTAATTAGTACAGTGTGCTAATAAACCAAAAGCCACTGTGGAGTGCCGGGTTGCAGTTCTTGGACTTTGATGACGCGTTAAGGATACGAAATCCTTATTTATGATGCCAGTGTGCATTGCATAAGGCTATATATATATATACTGCTATAAATATGTACATATATACTGTTATATATATATGAATCTGTGTTTTGTGTGGTGCATTTATATAACTGCAAGTGATTGCCCCTGCAGATAGCTAATGCCATGGAGCCAATGGCAAACAACAAAGGATTTAGCATAGTTGGCATAGTCTAGTCACCTTTGTTTGTTCTAATAAGCCTTTACAGAGAGAGATAGAGAGAGAGAGAGAGAGACTTATACTAAGTGAGTGAGTGAGAGAGACGGGGAAAGTGGTGCAAGAGAGAGAGATAGAGTGCTTCTTGGTGCGCTTGGAATCATGTGGCTCCTGGAGGAAATACTTACTTACACGCCAATTTCTAATTTACGGCCTGACCCCTTGCTTCGTTTACCATTCAAAGTGCATAAATATTTAATTTAAATTAAATACCACCCAATGAGAGAAGTCAACCGGACTTTTTGATAAGTCCACACAATAATTAACTTTTTGCCCCATGCGTGCGGTTATTATTACTAGTCAAAATATTAAAAAGAAAGGAAGTTTTGAAACGAAATTAATAATTCAAGGGAAAACAATGTAAAATAATATTCCAAAGAATTGGCCCACAGATACAGATGGCTTTTTAATTACTCTAATTAAAATTGACACTACCTTGACCTAACCTGAGAAGCATTTTAAGCGGGAAATGGGAGGTATTATGAAACATATTTATATTAAGATAGCAAAGAGGTTCCTGAAGAGATTTGTGGTGGCAATGAAACAGCCCTTTTTATTGACAAAATTATCTTTTATCTTATCTGATGATGTCTTGATTTATGTGGCTTTAATAAGATTTAAATACAAAATGCTTACAATATTTTTAAATCACGAAAAATATTGATATTTGTGTGAAAGATGAATCACCTACAAGAGTTTTTTTTTAAATACTTAATTAGTTCCCTGGGGAAGATTTACCGTCTTAGCTCTAGTGAATATATTAATATATATACCTATTTATTTGCTTTTAAAATTCTTTACCAAATTTCATAAAAAATATTTGAATTTGAAATGCATTTTCTTGGCTTAAATATAAACCACTCTCAGTTGTAATTCATTTAATATGAGAGCTCCCCAAAACCATAATTGAGCCTAAAATCTTTTCCAGATTCATGTTGATGGGAAAATGGACAACTGAGGGTGCCTTAAGGGCTTAGACTGGCAGATAAAAGTACAGTGCAGCCTGGCTAAGTGCAATTAGATGGAACTCAGACTCACCTCGTTCATCCATCGTGGGTCCGGTGTAAGTGCGGTGGGTTATATCGCTGCCGGCAACTAAATCGCCGAGTGGTGGTGCTGTTTTGTGCATTTTGGTGCCGGTGCTGAATAAATTGCAGAGTTGTACAGATAATTAGGTGCAAATTACAAACAAGAGTGCGAGATATACATAGTAAATATATAGCAAACATAAGTAGTGCATAAGTAGATTTAGCAAATTACATAAATCCCATTGATTTGGGAAAGAAAATGACTTGAGCTTTGGCATTAATCGGCTTTGGGCATTTACAACTACAACTGGCCAATTAAATCATCATCATCATCATCACCCCCAAGGCCATGTTCTTTATCCAATGGTGCAGCATAAGTCTGACCTGGTCTACATTATAAATTACTAATCGTGTCTCGAGCTTAGAGTGTGCACCATTCATTTGAATATTTATTACAATGAAATGCATTAAAATCAGATTACATAAATGCTGGTCAAGTGCCACGGGGGAGTCCGAGATCCAAGGATTGCCCGCCTGCAGCCAGTCGGACTTATTCATTAGTTGGCTTTTTAACCGGAAATTGTGGCATACCCAAGTGAGTCAATTATTTTAAAAGCTTTTTGCATAAAGTTACCAGCTCCTCGGTGGCTTAGAAAGGAGAGTTAATGAAAGGCTATTCAGTGGGGCTTCATATATGAGTGTGAGTGTTTGACTCTAAACTTTGTTGGAAAAGTTGCAGCTGCCGCCGCCTTTAGCCAAAGATGCCAAACCAAGTCGTCGGGGTAAATCGGGCGTACTTAGGTGGGCTGGGTATCGTGGGTGACGGCTGTCCCTGTCCCTGTCCCGGTTGTCCGGATCCGGTGGTCGAGCTCTGATCGCCGTGCGTGTAGTACGTATGCGAGTGGGGATGGGCATGAGAGTGGGGACCGGGACCCGCATCCACCACCACCACGACGTCATGGTCTAGTGCATCGCCAGCATTGTTGTGTTGCTGCTGCTGCTGCACTGTCGTCGGTGGCGATGGTGGTTTCTTGTGGGCCACCACTTCCACCACCACATCATCGTCATCGTCCAGGGTGTGAGGACTGTGCGAGGCCAGGACCAGGGGATTGTTAATGCCCCACGATGGCGGATGGAGGTAGTGCGGGTAATTGGAATAAATCTCGGCTCGTATGCGGTCATCATAATCATCGTCCTCTTCCTCATCCTCGTCCTCGTCCTCGTCATTGCCATCGTTCTCGTTTTCCTGCGGAGCCTCTTCCTCATCCTCTGCCCCTGTTGGATCACTTAAGCCATTGGGCTCGTCATGGTACTCGATATTGTTGGACATTAACTCTGTGCCATTGAGGCCATGCGGCTTCTGCCTCAGCCTGGACTTGGGCCTGGTCTTTTGTTTCGACCTGGACTTGGTCTTGGGCCGCGGGTGCTTCAATTTGGGCAGACCGTTGGGGAAGAATATTAGTCTATCTGGAAGGTGATATCGTGTGCCATGCGTGCGGAAAAAAAGAGAAAATCATTTAGTGCCGAAGAGGTGCAAGGTGTGCGTTAGTGTGTGTGTGTATTTAATTAGTGCAATTAGTGGGTGCTAGTACTAGTAGTAGTACGTGTAATAAAATTTAGCAGAAGGGAGATCACTCTCCTCTGAGGTGCTGTTAATCCATTAGTGCAGGTGGGGCTGGCTTGTGGGGCAGGTGGGTGAAAGGGTGTTTTGCGAAGTGGAAAATGAAATTATGCTTTAAAGAGTTTTCGTGGGGGGTTAAATTAAATCAAAGCTTTCCATGGACTGAGAGAAATCTGGCCCTATACCGAAAATGAAAAGGTTAGAGACAGTGTTGGTGTTTTATTCATCTTTTTTCCAGTGTATGCATAGTTGTGATGGAGTTAGTATTGGTCTAGAGTTTGGTCTTATATATATCTACGGTTAGCGAGTTAGTTCTAGAAGTTGGTGCAATCAATCTAAAGCACAGACTCAGTTCGCTGGGTGGCAGGTAACTTTAGCAAGTGACTGTATGTAATTATGGGCTGATAGCTATATATAGCTTATTTGCTACGACAAACTTTTGATAGTGACAGATAGAGAGATAGAGAGAGAGAGAGCGATACAGAGAGAGAGAGAGGTATAGAGAGAAAGAGAGAGAGATAGCACGGCAGCTTTGGTTTTACATTGATATACATTCGTATACGTGATATTTACGATTACTTGGGCATAGCTAATAGTCGTATATAGTATATGGATATATATTTGGATATAGGCATAGTTTTGGTTACTGATTACTGATCGCAGAACATGGGTTTCATTTTTGGGTTTTTCTCTATGTTTTTTTTTACTTTTTAGTTGTTGTTTGTTGATGCAGAAGCGTGCGATAGTTTAGTTTCTGGTTTTTTGTTTAGGTTACTTAAATGGTTAGGCTAGTTTCGGTTTTTGAGCGTTTCACACAGGATTACGATAACCAAAAGGATAAGGAAATCGATAACAGAAATCACAAATCATTAGAAGAACGAAAGAGTCAGTTAAGAACGAATCAAATTTGCTTTTTGTTTGCTTTCTCGGCAGGTAATTCACCTTTCACCGCTCTCAACAAACAAGGAACACAAGAACTTGCGATACCAGAGGTTGACAGAGAAAGAGAGACACATAAATAATAGGAACTAAGGACAATTAAAAATTAAAACTAGAGATATATATATATATTGGATTTCCAACAATTTGTTTATCGAAAAGCTGTAGCCTTTGCGGCTCTTTCTCTTTTTTTGCAGCTGTTTGTGTTGTTTGTTGCATTGTTGTTTGTTGTTTTTGATAATTATTTAGTTGTTGTTACAGTTGTTATAGGTTGTTACTGCAGTTGTTACTGTTGTCACGGTCAACGAAGGTTTTGCCTCGCCAGACGAAACTTACCCACACACGGATTGTGATTAACAATATTAAAGATACGATCACAGCGCTTTTTCATATGGTTGTTCGGGCAAATGCATCCGAACATCGGCGACAGTCGAAGATTGGTCCACGAATCGTGGCAGGCGTCCCTGAAAAAAGCGATGATAGCCGGTTAAGAACAATGGTTGAATCCGGGTCCAAGCCGATTCCCTTCTATCCCCCAGAAAAACACAAGTCCCTCAGCTAATTGAATACATTTCGAGTCCCTAACCGCCGCAACCGTAGCCGCATTGCCAGCGACTTCCGTTCTGGGGCTCATGGAAAGTTTAAAATTGCCAATTACATCAAAAATGCATATGCACTGGGCATAAATATGGCTAGGATTTATATTTATAAATATGTTAATATTGTTATATTTTTAGAAAATTTTTCTAAGGGGTCTAAGGGTTCTTTTAAGACAGTTTTTGGGCTCAATATTATATGCAAATATCGGTCTAGTTACTCATGGAAAACAGCACTGAATGCTGCACCTTAGTAGAACGATTTCTGTCTACATAATCATGACTAGGTTTTACATTCAATTAAAATTTTCAAATTTTAAAGATGTAAACATTATCATTAATTTCTCCAAGTGCACCCACACGGCGTTGCAATTAATATTTTATCGCATAGGTGGATCTCAGCCAGAGCCAAAACCCGCAGCCCGAATGCCTGGCATGCGTGCGGAAAGTTTTAGGCCAGGTCGAAGGAGGAGAAGGATGTGGGTTATGGAAAACTTTAAGCCCAAGTTTTCAAACTCCAAAGTCAACTCCGCCAGCTCCCTTTAGACTCCTCTCCTCGTCCTCCGTCCGCCGCAAAAAGTCGTTTCGAGTTATTAAAACATTCAGAACGTTTGTATTCAAGTGTATCGAGGCAACCATCGGGCCAATGAGCCAGACGGCAGGACGGCAGGATGGCAGGACCTGGGCTGGCGGTAGGAAATCGCGTCAGTAAGGATATGTGATGGCTAAAGGAAGCGGCAAGAAGTAGCAAGATGCCGGCAAAGCAGGAAGTTTCATTTCGCCTTCTGTTCGCTCAACTTGACTCCTGTTTACGTTGCTGTCTGCTGCTCTCTGTGGGTGTGTTTCTTTTTGCCAATAAAATCGAATATCGAAATTGAATGTTGCAAGCGTCTCTCTCTTTTTTAAGCTCTGGCCAGGACTGAGGTGGGTTGCAGGTGCTTCTGACGGCTTTTTTGCCGACTACCAATGCAATTTGCATTTGCCGTTAACCATTAAGTGGCTTGGCTCCACATCGGCAAGGGGCAAATCAATTTTCTTATTAAGTCAAACACGCTTTAATTTAATTTTCATTATCGGAATTGGCTCTCTTTGGTTGTGGACTTCGATTGACCATTTTTTGTAATTTACTTGACGCTTTAATCGTGAAGCTTCCGTTCTCATGATGGTTACTGTCTTAAGGAGTAATCGGAACTATATTAAAAATTTACATTTTAGTATGAAATATATATTAATTGTGTTTTTTTAAATTTGTCTTTGGCAGCTACCTAACGGGTTGATCTTAATTAACTCTACTTAGAGTTTCCAAATCACTTGAAATTAAGTCTACCACAAACCAAAGTACTTAGTTACATGAAAGTCCCTTTAAGGCCTTGAAAAACTGGTAGATATTCATAGTAAAAATTTCAAGTTTTCATCCCCATTAATTGATATCCTCACTTTCTTACCTATTTTCCATTTTGCATTTGTTGTCGCGCACCTTACAATGCGTTTTAAAGTCCTCGAAGAGCTTCAAGCATTTGCGTTCCTGTTGGCAGACGGACAGAGCGTGATTGCACGTGGGCAGTGCATCAATGGGATACGGATCCTTTTCGGCTGTGGAAAAATACATTAAAATAGTGAGAAAACAATTTTAAGATTCACCATGATTACGCTCACCTTTCTTCAGAACAAATCCGCAAGGATGATCGAAGAGAAAGTCCCGGAAATGATTGCAATCGGGATCCATGCCGGGTTCCTTGCACAGGCAGGTTGGTCGAAAGAACTGAAAGGCCTGCAGGGTACGTAGGGCGGCCTGGCACTTGGTCACAGTCACTGTGCTGCAGGACACTGCAAGGATACAGAGAGAAACAGAGAGAGAGTGAGAGAGATGCAGAAGTTATACAAAATGTTGTGGCAAGTGAGTGACAGTTGGATCCATTTGGGGGATTGGAGCCGGTTATGCTTAATGATCTTTAAATGGCAGCAGTGCTTAAACTTTGACACATTACGTCGTGCTGGTTCATTTTGGTAACTGCACATCGATTACCAACTATATGAGTGGCTACACTGAGGGAAACATTTGGTAATTACAAACAGAGAAAATAAATAAAAACTTCTTTGATATTTCGATAGTGGAATAAAGAAGAATTCTTCCGTCTTGTGAAGACAACAAATGATTGTTTCAACTTCATGTACATAGTTTTCGTCATGGATATTTCTCTCAGTGCATCTGTGCGCCATGACAGTTGTTATAAATGGCAGCCAGACACACAGGACAGACAACTACAAACCAGACACATGTCATAATAAGAACCCAGAAACCATCGAGAGCCAAGGGAAGTTACAACAAATACAATATGAATAATTGAGTCTCCAAACAAAACGGTCGATTTAAGCGGCCAATGAAGCGATGCGTTGGGACGAAACGTGGTCCGGATAATATTTTATAACATAATAAATTATGTTACACACATGCACATATACCACTTGTACTACTACATACTACTGTATACATATATATGAGTGTGTGACAGCTTATTGGAGCATATGACAACTAGCACGGCCAACAAAAGGCACACATCTGTTGGCCATCTATTGTCCTTTTGGCCATAAAACATAAGCCCTACTAATAAACCCGGCTACGCCAACACTTCACAAGCACAGCCAGGAGTAGGAGCAGGAGCAGGATGAGACTCACACATCGGGGGACTGGAACTGGCACTGGGACTCGTGACTCGTTTGGCTCGTCATAAGCCGTAAAATCGCCAAAAAGCAAAACAAGCAAACTGCCGGACAATGGGAGTCCCGGCAGCATAATGGGAAGCGAGCGGTGGTGGTGGTGGTGGTGGTGGTGGTGGCCATTGGTGGCCAGTGGCCCTTACCATGCCATGTGGTTCACGTCACTCAACTGACCCTAGCCCCAAACTCGCAGCTGCCTTTTCGTTAACCCCTGTGATTGCCCTTCGGCCTCTCCAATAACATCCTTGTCCATTGCAGACCGGACATGATTATTTGCTAGTTGAACATAAAGTTGCTTCCGCCAGGATTGGGAGTGAGCACACACGCATACACACACACACACATTGGCTACGCAACAAGTGACATTTTTCACAGGCATCCATCATTTTTATGCGCCCGTCTCCCAGCTTTTTTCTTCAGATTTCCCCTTTTTCCCACCTCTTTTTTTTTGTGTCACCCCCCAAAGTTTCACAATTTTTTTGTTTTCAATGTAAGCTGGTTATGTGAATTCGGATTTTTGGATTTCAGACATTTTTTTTGGGGGCTCCTTTTGGGGTGTCAATTAAAGCGCGTTGGCTGCGGATCAACAGCGAAACGGAAGGTACTCAAGATAGGTCTTTGAGGGGATTGAAAATATGCAAAAGGTTTTAAAAGAAAGATCTTTACCAATTGTATTTCAAATGAAGAAAGTTGTAGCAGTAGTAAAAATATAAATACATAAAATATTTAAGATATCAATATAAGTAAAACACAGAATATGTGGACTTTATCTAGAGTAAACTCTATGCTTCTATTAACAATATAATTTGAAGCATTATTTATTTTTTTCCCATCGAATATAAATATCGTTTAGTCTTCAAAATCTATACATTTAACTTTTTATGGCTTTTATATATGATTCCCAGAATTTTCTATATGTTATACCAAACATAAGCCTCCTTTCTCTCGGTGTATTGAGTGCATTTGATGGCTGGCTGGTTAACTAGTTACTAGGGTCTTGGCCCTCCTGGCTCCTGGTTCCTGCCTTGGCAAATCCTATTGGCCAGAGGCACCTGGCTCTCTCGCTTCGTCATTGCATGCTGGGCAGTCATAAAAAATAAAGCCAAGGCGAGTGGTTTTTATGCTTCGTCGCCATCAACTGACGCCATTTGCTGTGTTTGTGTGTGTGTGTGCTTTGGTTTTTTGTGTTTTTTTTGTTTTTTTTTTTCACTGCCGTCGCCGTCGCCATTGCCCTTGCCTTTTACTGTTATTGTTAAGTCCTCAATTCGTTTTTATTCGAAACGCGTTTCCGGTTGTTGAGTTGGTCGCTGAATTGGTTCAATGATTTCTTTGTTTGTTTCCCGCTGCCGCCCATCTGTGTGTGTGTTCGAGTTGAGTTGTAGTTTTTTCCCTGCTTTATTTGATTTTAGTTTGATATTTGTTTTCCTTTGGCCGGTCATTGTTTTATTTATTCCTTTTTTCTATGGGTTTTTATAGCCGTCTGTCGGTGAAATTTATGAGTCATTTATTAAGTTTAGCCATTCAGGGGCATATAAATTATTATTGGGCATATTAATTATTAGTAATATAACAGCAAATTATAGTTTAAATACTTTAATTAAGGGTTTTAGGGCTCTTGAGCAAATTGTACTTGATTTTTGACATATTTTCCACCCACTTCCGGTGTAGTGTCAGTGCTGCCATCCTGTCCTTTGTGTCATGTCCATATTAAGCCAGCGTTGAGGGGTATGTGTCTGTGTGTGTTGATTTTATTGAACCATCGACAAGTGCCCCCGGTTGGCTCAAAGTGAGTGCAGCGTTTTAAAACGGAAGTGGAATGCCGAAAAGTATGCCATGCAAAGGCACGACTGCTGCTGATGCGATGCAACCAACTTCCGGCAAAGGAAAAGCGAACAAAAATATGTTTATCACCCAGCTGGGGCATCATCGAAGCTGCTTTTAAAGGCTTTTCTCCGGTCGTGCCGTCGCATATGAGTGAGAGAGAGCAGCTGGGTGAAAAGCGAGGCAGGGAAGAAAAACCTGCATGAAATGCAATTATCATAAATATTCAGACACTGCCTCACCAGCACGGCACCGCCTCTTTAAGGCACATCCATATTTGGAGGACATTTAAAGGACGACAGTGAGACACCGCGACAGCCATTAACCTGCACGGCTAACAAAAAGTAATTTCACTTTTAAATGAAAAAGTTCAAAGTGCGTTTGTTTATGCCGCACAGACACGGCACACACACACATGAGAGCCTGGCCATAAAAACAAATGCCAAATGATTTTTGTATGAGCATCCGCAGCATCCCCACCTCCCTTCCATGACAAAAAATTAGACGCTGGCCAGCAATTGTAATCGTAACTTTTTATTATGATGCGTTGGCATTTGCAATCGAAATTGAATTGGAGATGGGCGGGGAACAAGTGTCGGGCAATCAGGGATCAAGATGAAAGAGATGTGTTTTTGTTGGTTTTATTCGATTATTCCCAACACACGAGCCTTGCTCAGGAAGTCCGTACGCTGCACATAGGACCCGGACATGGTGCGACTTCCGGTGTAAGCCTGACGACCATGGAGCACCCGCCAGTTATCGAACAGGACAATGCTTCCCGGAATTAGTTTTAGATTCCACTGCACATGCTCATCCCTTACGAGTTGCAAAAGTTGCCGAAGACTCTGATAGAAACGAGGCATCTCCGATTGAGGCAGAGTATCAAACACAGCACGATCGTAGACATTAAGCCGGAGTTGTACAAATTCCTGAGTCACGGGATCCAATTGGATAATGGGAGCCGTATGCCGATGATGCTCGCCTTTTTCTATATACTCTCCAGGAACCTGAACTCGGCACAGGGTCTCATAAGCATCGGGAAATCGTTTCTTTAGTTCACTGACCACATACAAACCATCTACGAAGAAGTTTTCACCCCCAGAACCCGAGTGTTGGATGCAATGCAAAGCCTGCAAACCTGCAGCATCACAAAAGTATGTATTATCGGTGTGAGAACCCAGATATAGCTTGGTGTAGGCAGTATCAGCATGATCGGGCTTATCACTGAACGTCCACATCTCACCGAAAAAGGTTTTCATCAGATGAAAAACTCGACGCAGAGCCAACTCTGTCATGGTGGGTGTGGGAGGCACATCATCGATGAAGATGATGCCATAGCGTACAAGGGACTCTACCAGAGATTTGACCACCTCATCACTGGACACCAGTTGGGGCAGTGAGAAGCGCAAATGATGCTCATTTTGTAAGATAATGCTGCGACTCCAGGCGGTTGGGGAAGTGTACTTTGATCGCCGGCTTATCAACTGATCCAGCTGAGAATCAAAGATAAAGTCGAGGTCATAGCTGGACCGATGACCATCACTCCCTATGAGTTTATCAGATTAAATATAAGGAATTGATTTATCTATCTATCACTGACTTACATTGAATTAGTAATTTATTTCCCTCAAATTTGTTACTCAGGGATTTAATATCATCTGGCAGATCTAAGAGATCGTAACGTCGCTGATTTGTTTCCAAATTTAAGCACTCTCCACAACGACAGTGATCACGCAGCCAAAACTCATTGATTTTTAGACTCTTTCCTGTCTTGGGATGTGTTAAATTCATAATTTTTTATTTAGAGAGAACGACCGACTTATTGAACAAGTGAAAGCAAACTAAAAATCCGAATGCTGATTAGGTATAGTCTATATTTGGTTTCTATAAGCAGCTTATCAGTGAGAGAGAAAGATTGCTCTCAGTTTAAGAGGAGATAAGAGATTGTTCTCATTTTGACATGAAATTTAAACAAATTATAAGAGAAATACTGATTTACTTTCATATAATTGTATTATATTTAAATCTTGACTTATTTTATATTTTATAAATAAAAGTTGTGGCTTCCAAATACTATACAATAGCAGCAGGCTGCTTTTTAAAATTCCAATAGCTTTCAAGTACTCTCTAGACATTTTTCAATCATTTTGAAGCTGTTTAACCTTTTATCTAAAATAGAAAATGAAAAACTTCAAGACCTCCTGGGCTGACGAGGTCGAGGCGGATTATGTGGACGGGCTGCCGCCTTGCAGTGAGTACATTGAAGGCGATTACAAGTACGTGACCGAGTACAAGTTCAATGATGACGGCAAGAAGATCAAGGTGGTTCGCACCTTCAAGATCGAGAAGCAGGTGGTGCCCAAGGCGGTGGCCCGTCGTCGCAACTGGGTGAAGTTTGGGGACTCTCGACTGGACAAGCCAGGACCCAACTCGCAGACAACTATGGCCTCCGAGGAGATCTTTATGCTCTTCACCGGATCCAAGGAGTTCGAACAGACGCACGAGACCCAGATCGAGGCTGGCAAGAATATAGCCAAGTGCCGGATTTGCAATGGCGAACACTGGAGTGTCAATTGTCCCTACAAGGGCACTGCCATGGATAGGAAGACCCAGATGGAGAACAAGGCCAATGCCGCGGCTGCTGCTGCCGTGAGTGATCCCAACAAGTCGGGCAAATATGTGCCACCCTTTATGAAGGAGGGCGGTGGCGGCGGAATCGGTGGCAAGTCTTGGGGTCGCGATCGTGATGAATCCTCCGCCGTTCGCATCTCCAATCTGTCCGAGTCCATGACCGAGGCTGATCTCGAGGAGCTGGTGAAGAAGATCGGTCCACACACCAAGATGTATCTGGCCCGTGAGAAGAACTCGGGTTTGTGCAAGGGTTTCGCTTATGTGCACTTCAAGTTCCGTCAGGATGCAGCCGCTGCTATTGATATCCTCAATGGTCATGGCTATGATCACTTGATCCTCTGCGTTGAGTGGTCAAAGCCTCAGGCATCATAAAGGGTTTTGACTTAACAACTAGAACTCGGATACGAAAATGAGCTGCGGTCGCAAAAGAAATCAAAATAAAATACTAAAGTGCGGGGAAAATAATGATGGTTTATCTTAACTAATCATTTAAATCATTTAAATTTCTTTTAAAAGCTAAAAACTCGTATTTACCAATGATCAACATTTAATTTTCCAGTTCAGATTGAACCTTCTTTTCTTTTCTTGTGCCTTAGGCAAAACTAAAGCTGTTAATGCTACGTTTTAAATGCGATTTTTTGCGCCGTGTTCCTTCACAACCGCACAAAGGTGAAAGCTATTTAAATGGAAGCCAACGCAATGCCGGATGATGATGACGGGCGGAAGGACTGGCATCGGGCAAAAGGAGCTCAGCAAAAGCTGAGAAATGCCACAAGACGCTGGCTGGACTGAATGAACATTAATAATTAAATATAAGAGCGGACTTATGCGCACGATACAGGACACAAACTACGAGACCATGACCAAGGTACCAAAGTGAGTGAGTGTGGCGCCTAGAATAGTGTTCGTCGAATATAGAGTCGACTCCCGGAGTCCCGGCTTGGATACCTACACTTTTTGAATGAGAGGCGGATCAAAGTCGAGGCACAAAAGAAATTTATTCCCATTGTTGTTGCTGGTGTCTCGCGGTGGTGCGGAGGAGGAGCACCCGGCACCGGCTAATGCCGAGTCTAAAACAAATTACTGAATAATTTATAAATTAACTTTTTTTCTGCGGCCCGCTCTTTGTTTGGGCGGCAGAATGAATTGGAAGGTGAATCAAGTGGGTGGTGGGCTTTGGCCACCTGGAAGCCGCCAGGCACGCAGTTTCTTTTTTCATTTTGCACCTTTGGGTCATGTGCGCTCCCACCACACACAAAAACACACGTTCCCTGAGAGAAACAACCAGGAAAGTTCAAGTTGAACGTTGAGAATACAGATTACCTGCGATTCTTAGTCACCTTTTAGCCTAGTTTTAAGTGAAAACTTTTTTAAATTGCTTTCACTTTCGGATATGATTTCTACTAGCTCATAAAGAATAGGTGTTTTTGTGGGAAAATATGATTAAATTTATAGTTTAAACCTACAATAAACTAGGTAGATGGAAAACTCGAGCAAGTGTTTGTATTTGTATCGAATTAAGTGATCTACTTTGTCAGGTAATCTTTTACTGCGTTTATGCAATGCCGAATTCATGAATTCAATACATGAATACTGTGAAAAGTGTATTCAAAAATAATAGTATGTTGAAAATATATTCTTTACCAATTGACAAGCAATTCAATTTAGCTGTTTTGGCGGGAAAATATGATTGCATTTAAAATTAAAAATATTGAATAATCTAGATATTCATATCGAATTAAGTGATCTACTTTATCAGATAATCTTTTACTGCGTTTATGCGAGGCTAAATTCGTGAATCCAATATTTGAATACTGTGGAAAGTGTTTTCTAAAATATTTGAATATTGAAAATATTATCTTTCCCAATTCACATTCAATTTATTTCACATATTCGAGTGTTTTCATGTCATCGCATAAAGCTTACAGCTTTAAATAACAAAATATCACTCATACGCACTGCATGCCGGAATGAAGCATAAACCCGGCACTCTCTATTCCCTTTACAGGGTATTGCAAAAACAGGCCATCGACTCGACCTGCGACGCAGTTTTCTCTGGGGCATTTGAATATTCAAATGCCTTTTGCTTGCGATCCCGCCCCCGAGCTGCCTTGCCGCCTCTCTCTCGCTCTCTGTTGCGGTTAAAGTGTATATACTGTTATTTACCGTTTTATCGCACGAACATACAAAAATTGTTGAAATAATTACACAGTTGTCGAAGCAACAATACACACAGAGAGAGTCCCAGGGTAAATAAAAGCAAAGGGAAAGAATAAAAACATCGGAAATTAATTCTCAAATGACCAAAACTTGCGCATAATCAGCGCCAAGCGCCGCAAGTGCTCGAGAGCTCTGCAAACACTTGACACAAAAACTATAGATATTGTGTAAACATTCCATCAGTGAGCTTGGAAAAAGTATCGATTTGAATTGAATGGGGTTCCTTTTTCTTTCTTTTTTTTTGTTTATATACCTATTTATTTATTTATTTTTGTTTACCTGGTATGGGACCGCAGACGCGTGGTATAATTTCCAATATGGCTGAACATGATGGATCCTCGAAGCAGAGCTGTCGGGCTAGAATGCAATTCAATATGGCCACGACGCCCTTAATGGTTGAACCTGAAAGCAGGAAAAATTAGGGAAATTAATTCAAGTTAAATTTAGATTGCCTAAAAAATGGGGAAACCCTTAGTATGCTTAAAGCTTAAAATGTCATTTGGAAATATGTTCACATTTCTTAAATATTCATATGATATATATATTATTTAAACTATGGACTTGGAGAAAGATTTCGAGAAGGAAGCTCCCCTTGAGCAGCAGCATCCCTCCTATAAGCTGATCCCAAAATTCTTCAATCCTTCCCAACAATCTGGAGATCAGATCCAGCAGATAGAAACCCAAGGGATTGAGCTTCAGGCCAAGGTCAAGGAGCTGCTCGACGTTGAAGAATTGGAGGAGTTGTGGGAGACGCTGGAATGGCATGTGACCGAAATAACACAAAATGATAAAATGCTAATCGATTTCGAAAACTATTTGGAGATGATTTCCGTAATGGATGCTAAATTTAGGGAATTCATTAATGTGCAACTCTTCTTCGATCTTATGAATGAATCCGAATTCGAGGAAAGACTGGAGATTGTATCCATCTATAATCATACGATCCGTGCGATAAGGCTTGCCCGGGCACGCATCTGTCTGTGCTATTACGATCAATTAGGAATGGGATATCTAAGTGAAACCGATCTGGAGAGCTTTATTGTGGACATGAAAACATTATGGAGTCAGCCCCCGTTGGAGAAATTCTACGTGTGCACCGTGGTCAAGATGGTCTTTTTCTTCCTGGACAGTCTGCACACGGGACGTGTGCGAATAAGTGACATTGAATCCTCTGGAATGATTTCGGAAATTATGGAGGAGAAACACTCCTTCTCCAAGGCAGCCATATTGGAAGTTTACGAAAAGTTCCTGGAACTGGACAAGGATCACAATGGCAGGCTGAGCAAAATGGAGATGTGTGTCTATGGTTCTGGTCTTCTGACAACTCTCTTCCTGGATCGAGTCTTCGAAGTGTGTCACACTTTTAATGGGGAAATCGATTACAAAACATTCTTGGAACTCTTTCTGGCTCTGGAATATCGTCAAGTGAGCAAAACCAATTGGAAGAACCTAAAAAATATAATTTCCTAACATAATTTCCATAGACTGCCGCAGGTCTGCGCTATATTTTCCATATTCTGGACGTTAATCAGCAGGGTTATATAACTTCTGAAACTTTGCGCTTGTATTTCTACACCAAAACCCATAATGGTTATCAAGCGGAATATACTTTTAAGGATCTCAATAATAAGATTTTTGATATGGTCCAGCCAATGGATCCTTCCAAAATAACCCTTAGGGATCTGATTAACTGGTAAGGTCATCCTATACCCTTGTTTAAAGTAAACCTAAACTCATTCTTTCTCTCTTCATTTACCGCAGTCGAGAAGGGAAAGCTGCGGTCTCCTTGATAATTGAATTTCAAAAATTCGTGGCCAACAAGGACACTGAGAGTGCGGTGTATATTAAATATCCAAATTCCAACGAGCAGCCACAGCGGCGAGACACTCCTGCGGTGACAACATTAAGCCAAATTTAATTAAATCCCCGGTCCTGGCTCCTTTCGAAATGTATTCATTTTTTGTATTGTCTGGCAGCAAATTCAATGTGTAAAGTTGCTTAAATATTTCGGATAATTTGTATCTGTCCTTATATGTTCGTAATTGCAAATTGCTCATAAATATTGATGGCTTTGTTTTAATTATGTTAATTCATGGTGAGCAATTTAAAGCATTTACAATTATCATTTGTATTGAAAATCCAACATACACAAAAAACTACAACAAGCTACAATTATGTTTATATGTAGCTGTTAGTTTTTATCATAATTTTACAAGGAGGGGAGCCACAGGACGAAGCCTAGCATAGCTGCTGGTTTATAAAACATTCATTTCAATTTCATTTCATTACGTAAAATAAACCAAGTCATCCGGGCTGCTGTCTATCTAAGCTACTGGCCACTGGTCGTGCTCCTTCCCATCCATTCTCTCCTCCGCGAACCCTCTTCATCCGCCGGATGCCCGGTAAAAGTTGTAGTTCCCCGATCCACTCCCTGGACACCCACACAAAACCCACCCACCTCCCGTGCTCATTAACGAAATGACCGTTTGCATATTGCAAGTGGGGTTGCCAGGCGATTCCGGAGCCGGAATAACAAAAGAAGTGCCTTCAAAAATTCACGAATTGCATGCGGACGCAGCTGAACTTACTCCAGGAAGTGGCCTACTGCCGCCAGGAGGAAAAGTTACCAGAGGAGCAGTGGCAACAATTGCATTGCATGGTCCGGCCAAAGTTTTCGTGGCTCTGACGACGGTCGAATTGTTTGCGGAAATACAAATAAACAAAAGTCAGCCCTTTGCAGACCTAGACTTTAAAGTGTTTTATGGTTATTGGGTGCTTAGAATTGCATTGAGATATGCGGCGCGCGTCTGGCCCCGATGACAGCCAAGGAATTATCAGCGACTGGGAATGGACTCAGCCGCAAATTGCCAAACACAGCGACGAGACTTCCCTCCCCTTGCGACCCATTTGGAATCACTTAAAACACACAAATCAAGCAAAAGTTGAAAACACAATAACAATTGTTTTGGGACACACCATAAATTTGCATGCCAAGAAGAGTAATGCTCCTGGCCACATAGAAAAAAAAGAGAGGAGCGAAATAGGCACATAAATATGCGACCGACCGACTGTTACTCCGCCTCCGCCAAGTCCTCGTCCTCGTCCTCGTCCGAATACGAATCCTCGGAAAACTCCACTCCGACGACAACCAGAACAATTCGTTTGTGTCACAATCAGATTCGGCACAGGCACAAAAATGTTCGCTTTTCGCGTTTCGCGCTCGCCATGTTTCATGAATTATTTCCCCACCGAAACCCCCAAAAAGTTTTCGACCAAAAAACTTTGACTGCAGAAAAGGAGGCCAGGACAAAAAAAAAAAGGGCAAGACATTGACTGGGAACTGGCCAGTGTTGCAGGCCAACTCCCACAGCTGCTCAACGATTGCACTACACAAAAAGATCACTAAAATATAGTTTGAGATACTTGTTAGTATATTCTGTAATGTCAATACAAATTAAATGTGCATTTTTTAGAATTTATAAACCACAGCTGATATATATATATATATGATATATATATCAAAAACCTTTAGGAATATTAATATTTAAATTCTTTTTCATTTAGAATTGTTTATGTCTCTGAAATTTAAACTTACTGAGAAGTTAATTAACCTCCTGATGGTTTATTATTTCCCTTCATCTACTAATTAGAAATTTAACTCAAGGAAACGTTAATTTTTATAACTCAAAGATCGAGTTAATATATTTTTTCTTTGTGTGCCTTGTTTGCGTTGATTCGTGCGGCGTACATTTCGATTACCATTTTCCCTGGTGGGATTTGCAGGAGGATGAGGATTCGAGGAGCATGATGGTGGTGGTGAAGGTGCAGGGGATTCCTTCAGTGTTTCGCATTTTCTGCAACTTCTTTGAAGCGCCCCTGCCCTTTGCTCCCCACAACCAGTTCCTGCTCCTGCTCCTCCTCCTGCCTCAGATCCTGCTCCTGCTCCTTCTCCTGCTCCTGCCCCAGCTACTGTTTCTTCTCCTGGGCCTTGCTGCCCCTGCTGCTGTTGCTGCTTAAATTTCAATTGTGTGCCAGGGGCGCTGGCCCGACGCTGGAGCACTCTGGTGCAGGCTTTAATAAATTATGGCCCACGTTGGGGGTGGTGCTCGAGGAGAGTTGTTGTTGCCGCTTGGCCCCTGCATGCCACTTGGAAAAGTTAATACAACAAATGCGCTACAGCTCACAACAACAGTAGCGGCAACAACAATTGCAATAACAATGACCGCATTACGAGGCCGCGAATCGTTGCCTCCTGGAAACGCCAAGTCGGTGGCAGTGGCAACATCAACAACATGGCCGAGAAATGGCAGCTTTACAACTTCCGGCAAGCAAGGACTACCGACTATGGTCTCTCGTCCTTCCCAGTCGCATTTTTATTTTTGCTGCTCCTGTTTTTTTTTTGTTTCTGTATTTTTCGCAGCCCTACTGTTGCTCCGTTGGCCATCCTTATGTCATTCGGGATTATTTTGTGGGTTAAAAACTAATTTTCGGTCATGAAGTGGATTTTCACAGTGCATGGTACATGTTGCCGACATTCGGCGGCCCATAAATATGCAGCAGTGGCAAAGGGGCAACGTGGCAACGGCAACTGCAATTTGCATGGGAAAGCGTGTAAAACATTGATTTCCCAACTCCAACTGGATCAGTGTGAGCGGCTCGAAGCCAGGCCAGGGATTATCCGGAATAACGCGCTTCCAGGGCGGTGCTGTTAAGGCAAATGTCAACAGTTGAAAGTGCGTGACCAAATTATTTCATTTCATTTTATTTAATTTATGGTTCTGCCCCGAGTGGAAGTCCTTGTTGCCTCGCCTCTCCTCCTCTCCGGCTGGCATTTAAATTTAACTACAGTCCGGACAATGCGAACAGTACCAGGCAACATCACCAGCAGCAGCAGCAGCAACATAAAATGTTGCCCGCAGCCATTTTCATGGGCAACCAACCGAATTGGGTGTTGAAGCTGGTGTTGGCCTTAACCAAAACAACGAAAACAACAGTCCACAAAAGAAAACAAGACGATGTTGTCCATCTAGAGTAACGACTAGGGGATACCTGGCACTCCATATAATAATATAGAGTGCCTTCTTTGAGGCTATTTGGGAGATAATAGATAGTTAAGGTAATCTCTTATATTATGAGAAATAAGTGTTAGATTTTTGCAATAAACCAATCTAAAATGAAACTATTTGCAAAAAACATACTATAATTTAAATTAGGTCAAAAACTAGGCTTGCAATTACATATGATTCAGAAAGGAATGATCTATTCATTAGTATTCAATGGTGAACGATATCAAAATTTAGTATAAAAACACTTGCTAGACTTTGTTGAGAATTCTAGAGAAAAGAAAATTGTTCTTTATAAATAGATAACTTGATAAATATATATCAATTTAAAAATATTCATCTACAAAATACTGTTTGTAACCTTTATTAGCAATTTGTACATCAAAGATGAACTATGAAATTAATGTTGCATCCTAAATATAATTCCAAGAAACCCTCGACCTCTACAGGGTACAAAAAATCTGACGTTCGAGGGAAGAGAGGCGGAGTAAGGACCAGTGCTGCTGGGGATTATGGTCAATTATGTGTAAATACAATTATTGTTATTGTTGTCACCATTTCACGGCGGTATTGCCACCGTAGTTGTTATTGCCATTGTCAATGATGTTTTTCTTTCTTTTTTTTTCATTTTATAATTGTAGTTACCTATGTACGAGGCATAAAATTTGTTATTTTCACAACATGTCCACTGATGATCGATTCATTAAAATTGTTTCAGTTTAAAAACAGCAGCTTGGGTGTGAGGTTACCTCCCCCAAGGACATCTCTTAACTGTCGCTCCTTCTGTGCCCCATTGTGTTGTTTAGTTGCTCTGCACGTTTCCTGTGATTTAAGTACATTTTGCCAGCGAGAGAAGGAAAAAATCAGGAAACAATAAAAGAAGTGTAAGTACAAGTAAAGCAGCATTTGCAGAGACGCTGCAGTAAGTGCCGTGATATCCCTTGGTGGTCCTTTCAATTCTGGCTTAGTCACGTCACCAGCGGAGCACTTACTTAAAGGTTGGGGGAACTAAAGGGGTTAAATTTTTATTTATTTATAAAATAAGAAAGAAGCTTATAAGCTGCTGGGAATATCCACCTTAAATAGGAAAATGTCTGTAGATAGCCTTATTATGAAACACTTTAAGTAGGTCAATCTTATTTATAGTGTCTTATTAACTGGTATTTATATCAAATCAGAAAGTCAATCCTTAACAAGATCTAATCTAATATTTACTCAAGTTATTTCCCTTACAGCAACTGAATTATTCACAAAACCCCTCAATACAATAAAATTCCAATGAAAGCTATTAGTAAACATCATAAGCTTGTTAACTTTGGGGTTCAAGGAGCTCCGGTCTTCAAAATTTATTCCACTTGCTAAATGTTATTCAGCTGCTTCTGTTGCTGGCGGCTTTATCAGGAAAAAAGAAAACCAAAAACAAAATAAACACATCAATAAACAGAGTTGACAAAGATTTGATTGCATTATTATAAAACAATTTGCATTCGATAAAAGTCAAAAGCAGCAGGCGGCCAAAGTCATAAAAGTCGCGCAATGAAAATTGAAGCACAGTCTCCCCATTCCCCCTCTTTTGGAAAATGGATAGGGAAGAGGAGGAAAAGCTGCTGATTCAGTGGCAGAGCCAAAGTCACTTTTGTTGCTTTTGAAATGAGGAGGAAAAGAAATATGCAAAATGCGCATAAATCTAAAGGCCCGACACGGGACGGAAATCAGTGCGGAGTCAGGATCCGGATGAGTTCCCATCTGCCGGGGACTTGTACTGAAAAAAATTAACAAATAGAAATCATTCAGGAAAATCATTGAAGGAACCTACGGGAAGGACAATATCGAATGCATATTTTTAATTGGTTTGAATATTTCACTAATGAGTCACGTCTTGATCATTAAAATGTTCATGAATAATCTTTTTTTTGGGGATGAAAACTTCTTAAAGGGAAGTGTTTAATTAT